GACGAAAGCGGTTAGCGTCCAGGAACCGGAGCCAGGAACAGGCAAGGCTCCGTTGTTCCTGCAGCATGAGCACGAGGCTGACAAGGCTGGCGAGGCTACCTTTGTGTACTACGAGTATGTTGGCTGTCTGTCGCCACCCATCTGATGTCTGATAACTGATGTCCGATCACTGACATCTGACATCTGACGTCTGATGTTCTGTTATGTTCCTTATCCTACCTGCTGATCCTCAGCCGCACTCTTGTTGCGACCCGTCCTCCATCAGCCTCGTCTCCGTTCCATAGCCGCGCAATCCGCCATCTAGAATCCACTGCTCATTGTCCTCGTTATCATCCTGCACTCTCCGCCAGACGCTCGTTCTCTCCGCCGCCCGGCCTTTCCCTTTGTCCGTGTCAACCCCTTCCGCCGCCTTCCACACCGGCCGGATCAGCTTTCCAGTTGTCAATAGGGGATTGTTGCTGAATGCGCCCTTCCGCCCATCCGTGTTCAAACTCAAATGCTGATCTTCCATGTTATCGTCTTCGTCCTGATCGTCCTGCTCTGCCACAAGAGGAGCCGCCTTCTCTTGCCCATAAGTCTTCACCAGCTTCCCATTCTTGACGCTCATGCTCATCACCGTCCGCTTCTTCTCCCACTCTGGCCGATTTGCCTCCTCTAGCTCCCGCAGGTATTTCTGCTGCTTCTTCAGTGCCGCAGCACGCTGGACAGGGCTCATCCACTGCGTCGTTCCGGGAGTGAGCGTAGTATCATAATCGGCTGCTTCGTCGTGCACACGAGTCCGTTGAGCATTTTCGCGCTGAAATGCTAATAGCTTGTCTCGATGGGCTCGTGCCCGCGCTGCCGCAGACGATGCTTCGTCTCCCGAGGCGCTGTCCGGCGTTGAGCCTCCGAATATCGGCGTACCGCGTCCAGATTGAGATTGACCTGCATTGTGAACAGCCATTTTCTCAATGCCACGTTCTTCCTTGAGCGCCTTGATCATGCCGTTGACCTGCTCCTTGGTCAATATTGGTGAATCACAGAATGAGCATGGCTGTAGCCCTTCAAGCGCGCAGATGATCTTGCCACAGTTGAGACAGTTCGGTGCAGTTGCAAAGAGTGGGTGTATCGAAGCATTGCAGGAACATTTCCTCCTCTCTTTCGATAGTGTCGGGTTCGTAGAGAGTTCGAGGGCCGCAATAGCCGCTGTCAGGTCTGCCACATTTGACGTGGTCGTCGTAGCGCTGTTTCTATGCGGCGTGGAAGTGCCAGACTGCGGCTGCGAGTGTCCGCCATGCGCGGGCCTCTTGGCTTGCTTCGACTTCACATTCGCAAAGCCGAAATCAGAGATTAGGTTCCCTGCCGCCGATGGAGGGAGCTTTTGCGGTTTTTGTGCGGGGGAAGCATCTCGAGAGGTGGCGGAAGAGCGAGAGGGCAGTCCGCCTGTGCTGGGTTGACGGACTTGGTGTACCTCCGGGGTTGAGGACATCGGCGCAACATTCTGATCTCGCGAAGCGGGCCGCCTGCTGGGAAAGCCAAAGTCTTCGTCGGTGTTGTAGTGCTTGGTGTAACCGCCCGCGATGTCACCGTAGCCTTCCGGACGGCGCGCTGGGCCTGGAGCATGAAGAGGCGCCTTCGCTTTCTTAGTGGCCTTCTTTTGTGGCTTGGGCACACCAGTTTCCGCGGCAGCTGATGAGGAAGGCTTCCCGTTGCCACGTCGCGCATTGAACGATGAAATAAATTCCAGAGCTTGCGGAGAGTCGCCCAGTAGGTTCTTCAGATGTTCAGCGGCAGCATCCTTCGACAATGTCGAAGAATATGCGATCACTTCTTTTAGTGACCCATCATCCAGTGGCAGCAAAAGCTGAAGCCGCGGCAGTGCCCAACTCTGTATGTCGCCACTCATGTCGGCTTGTTCTATGATTTAAAATCTCGTCACTGCTGGTTCTTTGTATGATCTGCACAAAGTGGTAAGGCCGAATTCACAGCGTCGACTTTATCCAGCTTGACTCGTAGCGAGGGTTGAGCCGTACACAGTGAAGTTGGTCATAAATTTGGCTGAGTTTAGGGACATTTGAAATCCAGGTGAAATTCAGGCGCAGTCATCGTCCACCTCCAGTAAAATCCACCACAGAAAATGAGCGCCGAGTGCCTGAAAAGAATAATGTTGACAATTAAGTGTGCGAAACCTGGCATTCATTACGAAGATGCTAACATTGTAATTGCTTGTCAAAGGGACCCCTGCAGGATGCCAAGGTCGGCTGTACAGGCACTCATGCCCCCGCTAGCTAAATGCCATGCCATTCACTACAATGGCTGCTCTGCGTTGTGAGCGACCAGGGCGATGAGAGCAGCTCCCAGACCACTGCCATCCTTCGCCAGCCCAATCCTTATCCGCTTCTCCTCCTCACCGATGCCCTCGATCTCCCTGAATGCTTCTCGGATGTACTCCTCGAAGCCAGGGTAGTATTCGACCAAACTGCCATCCACGCCGATATCCACGGTCTCATCTTCTTGTAATTTGTTGGTCGACAGCACGACGCCGCCGAGTGCAACTGCAGCCAGTCTCGCTGCGCGCTTACCGATCGCATGCACCAGCATCTTCACTGCCACACAATCCTCGGTGGAAGCAGCCTCGACTTTCAGCTCTTTCTCCAGCACCTGCTTGGTAATGCGCAGATGATCCGACTGGTCTTCCTCGACAATAGACAGGAAGGACGTGTCAATCCCCCACTGCTTAAATAGAGGACTGTCGTCAGCAACCGTTGTGGTACTCCTAATATCGTTGGTATGCGACGATTCGTCTTTGAACAGCGCCACTCCGGCGTCTGGATGTTGATATAGACTCAACAGAGCCCGCCGCAGGATCTCACCCAGGAACATGCCGGAGACGCGCTTCTCGAACATCTGGATGCCCGGGTTCACCGACTCCTTGTCGAGGTCAATGTCATACTGAGTATTGGGAAGGACTTTGAGAGGATTGTCGAAACTGCCCCATTCTGTGTTGATGACCATGAGCCCGGTCGATGCGTCGTAGTTTGCTGCACCCCCCGCGGCGTCGTCGATCTCTTTCATCTTCTTCACCCTGTCCAACTTCTCAACATATGCACCATTGGTTCCAGTGCCGAAGATGGCACCAATCAGCGTACTGGTCTTGCCGGGAGAAGTATATGATCTTGCCATGAGGGTACCGACCGTGTCATTGACCAGAGCTGCAACCCGCACAGGAAGGCCAAGAGAATCTATCTCTTTTTGTAGCAGCTCACAGACGTCCTGTCCCAAGGCTTCATCAATGTTGAAGCCCTTTGTCCAACGCATCAGCTTGCCCTTGTTGATGCCGACTTGGTTGACAGGAAAGCTGAAAGTAAAGCCCAGGTCGAAGAAATCCACCTCACCCGGCTTCGCCTTGTGTTTCTCGAAATGGTCCAGGTGGTGTGTCTTGAGAAAAGCCTCGATTTGTTTGGCCAGAAACGAGAAGAGTTCGTGGGAGGTTTTGGCTTCCATCAGGGCGCGAGGTACGGGGACTTTCGACTGCTGTAACGAGAACGACTGATTCCCGTGCAGCGTGATGGAGCATACCCGGAAGTTGGTGCCGCCCAGGTCGACGGCCAGATAGACACCCTACACGTATTAGCTCAGTCGCAGTATGGCCTTTCTTCCTACCTTCTCGGTGCCGTTAGGAACGGATGTGACGTATGTTGGGATCTGACTTATGGATGTCCCCTGCTTTTCCAAACCCTCCTCCATCTCCCGGACGAACTCTTGCACGCCTCTGTTCACATCTTCTGCAGAGTATTCGAACTGCGCCACCATGCGCTTGGCCTCGGCTTCCAGCGCCATATTGGTTAAGGCGTGTGTAACAGGAAGGTCTGAGGAGAACGGCGACTTCGGCCTGCACTGAGTGCCCGGCTCGAGGAGATCAAAGTATGCCTCTTGTCGGTAGACACTGTCGCCAAAGGGATCGAGAGGATTCCGTGTCGGCTCGGGCGAAGGAGCAGGCGTGAATGAACGCGGCTGGAGGTCTCGTGCGCCGAAGAACTGAGTGAGCAGCACAAGGACAAGGACCACACCTGAGATAGAGTAGAAGACAGGGATGCCCAACTGGGACTTCAATTTGCTTTGAGCTTTGTATTGCTGAGTGCCAGGTATCCAACTAAGACTGTGTTGCCATAAGGTCAAATCCTGGGCTTCTTGTACCTGACTCTGACCAGACGGAGGAGCAGCCAGCTTTCTTGAAACTGGTTTTGGCATGAATGACAGCAGAAACGAAAGTGAGGGGCAGCTGCCACCGCGTGCAAGAAATCTCAGGCTTTCAGGGAGGGGTCAACCAGTTAGCGGTGCTTAGAGGTCATTAGGGGAGGCCCAATATGGAGGATTCCAGGTGAGGTAACGTTGTATCATGCGGAGTGATGCTGCAGCTCGTGTGCAAATTGTGCCTGGATCGACTGCTGGGTGCGGTGCGTGGCATGGCATGAACTGTTGAGGAATTGACAGCCGATGATGTCGTCTGGAAAATATTAGTGGGGGTGCCTAACCAGCCGGGGCCTAGGCGCCCCCGGAGTCCTTGCCCGGGCTGTAATGGTGCCTCTGAAGCTCTCCACTCGCACGAGTCCCGGGGTCGAGGAGCATTACCGAGAAGATGTTCCATCAGATGCACACATTTTGTGCCCAGATTGCCGGTCAACTCAAGCGAAAGTCAGGGTAAAAGCGTAGATCTCCTCCCTTACAGTGTTCTCGTGATTAGGGTATACTACGTGAACTGTGTACAGACTTGAGAAACTTTTGCCTGGTCGCCATTAATGGTAGTACAAGCAGCTCCTTCACCGGCATTCCTAGACTCCGACTCTTTCGTCTGATACTTTCATTCTGAGGCTGAGGTCCCATTTATTTTGTCCACACACGCTGAATTGTCCCCATACTGTTGAAAAAAACCTTGAAACAAAGTCGCTCAAAATAACTCCCTCAGGCGACGTGTGGCTGGTTGTCCGGGACGCCATAAGAACGAGACATGTCACCTTCGTCTAGAAGAGCATGTCGCTGGAATCGTCGTTACTAGCCTCTTTGTCCATCATCTCATAATCATCCAGAGTTTTCCTCCTCTTGACCTCCATCGTCCTCTGCTCGAGCTTGGACCCATCCAGCCCCGGTGCCTGAGGCGTATGCTGTCGGCCACCCCAGGTAAATCTTTTGATGAGACTTGACCGTCGTTTCGGATCAGCAGCGGATCGCCCAACATATCCCGAGGATGATGGGGGTCGTGTAGTCGCAAAGTATGGCCGTCTTTCCGAGTTAGGTGTCAAGGGTGAATTGGCTTTGTCTCGAGGAGATACGTTGTATGTGGCTTCTTGCAGCATCGGATCTTCGTTGCTGCTGGAGCTGATATCACTCGGGTCCAGGTCCCATCTCGAATTGAACAGCTTCATGTCTGGGTCTGTTGCGAACAATGTCTTCATGTCGGTGATATCTTCTTCGCCCCGAGGTGCCACACTTGCACGCCGCTTCCACATATGCCACAACAGATGGTCGTTCCCGATCACTTCCGCCAAAGAGCCGCTCGAACCTTCCCGAGACTGCCGTGTTGACATCGATGGTCTGCAGCCTATCAACTGCTTCTCTCCAGAGTCGTATCGTAGGTCCAGATAGTCGTGCACACTTTCAGTTTCGCTGGAGCAGAGAGAAAATATGCGGGCGTTGTCAAGATGTGACTTTGTATACCGCCCACAGGACTCTTCGAGGGGCAGGTCGCTTGCATCGCTCGTATCTGACCACCACTCAGAGTCGGACCCCTCATATAAGCTGTGCCTGTTCCGAGCCGAAGTTTGTTCGTGCAATTCGTCGTGTCGGTGCTGTTGCTGCCTCAGCGGATGCATGCGGATGACATTCTGAGTAAGCCAGCTCGACCCACCAATGGCTTGAGGATGCCCAACTATGCCGCCATCTTTCATAGGTCTTTCGCATGGGAGGAGCATTGACACATCACTCATCGGTGACACGCTTTTCGAGTACTTTCTGCTTTCGTGCTGTGGGGAACCTGCGCCTGCCCGTTCTTCGACAGGGTAGCCGCAGAATCCAGTCATGCTTGGCCCATCGCTTCTGTTACGGCAGCCTTCGCTGGGCCTCCTATCGGCCTCATTGAGAGCTTTCGCTGTTACCACCGGGATAGCTTTCCAGGAGCCATCAGCCTGGTAGTCGAGATCGAGGCGCAAACCGAACAGGCCCCCCTCACCCGTGGCCTCACATGGCGCAGATTCGGATTGTCGGCAAGCTTCATCTCTAGATTCAACGCACCATGTTCGGCTAAAAGCACGGGGAAAGTCCAGCATGTAATTAGGTACCCGGTCACCCTCGGAAGACTTCAAGGGACGCAGCCTGCGAGCAGACTCCTGGTTCCGCACCCTATTTCTGAGAAGATCCCATAGGTGCGCCTGGAGCCCTTGTGGCGAGTGCCTCCCTCCCATGCCGCTGCCAGGTTCAGAGCGAGAGAAGTCGCTGCCTGATCCCGGTGATGGCGCAGTGTTGACAAAATTGTCTAACAGCCTGGATATACTTGGAATGAACAGGGCCTGGTCTTGCAGCCTTTGAACGTAGTCTAGTGCAAATGAAGTGGGCGCAAGATCGCAAAGATGATAACTGTCCTGACCGGTCAAGCACTTGAGACCGGCCGCCAGGCGAATAGGCTTGGGGCACATGCTGCAGCGCAGGGCCGCGTCGAGGAATGCAGAGAACACATCCTTGTCCAATAGCGTCTGTTTGGAATTTCGCTGCCTTGAGGAAACCTGTTGACTTGCCTGGGATTGCCCGGCTGTGGAACGCCCAGTTAGGCCTGCTTGGAGCTGATTTTCTGCCGACTTGTCCTCCGTCACACTGCTACATTGAGGTTCGCCAACATGGTCACCGTTGCCAAAACGTTGCTGGTGGCAAAGGACACGGTCCTGCATTATCTTTGATGTCCAGCCTCTGGGGTCCGTATCCATGCAGCTTTTTCCGGCAAAGTGAAGGTGTAGTCGCACGGACTGCAGAGCCCAGGAGACAGCTCCCGTTGGACACCATGACTGGGTATCAATGTCACCGTGACTCTAAAATCCCATTAGTGTTAGTCCACATGAGAATGGTGCCGTACCTGAAGGTCGAAGTCCACCTGCAGAAAGCCCTCGCCCCCACGGCGTTCAGGCCTCTGGCATTCTACCTGAAATGCCTCATAACCAAGCTGCGTCCACAACTGTAGTGGATGGGTAAGGATTAGAACCGCTCAGGCCACTGCTAGGCTTACCTCAGCATTCTCAATGAGATCTGTAACGATTGAGTCGACATCCTGTGACTTGATTGGTGTAAGATCTAAATCATCAGCAAAATGGAGTTGAAGAGACAGACGGAACGATCTTGCTCTCGGAAGCCATAGACGGCAGGGTTCAAGCATTTCATCAGACAGGATGGCACGGTGATCAGCATTCTTGCATAAGATCGTGGTGGTGACCTTCGTTAGCAACCTAACATGTGATCTGCGATGAGTAAACAGCCTGTCTCCCAAGTCGATGTCATACTTCAGCATTTCGAAGGAGCGAGCATCGAGCTGTAGCCATGAAAGAATGCTGGTCAGTGAAGGCGCGTGGTGGTAAATACGCACGCCTTCGGACCGGAATTACATTTATCCGACTGCGCCCCGGCCAACCTCATCTCATCTTTCCTCATATCGGGTATTCCAGGAACTCTCATGGGCTTGAGGACTTTTCGACAACACGGATGAGGTACTTTGCCGGCACCGGTGACGATCCTCCTTCCTTTTGTCTCTCAAAAATGGACGGTGGTATGCCGATACGATCATGATCTCTTACCGTGAACAATCCATCACTTGATATTTCATTTCAGTCTGGGACAATGGTTCGACATCTCGTATCTCGGGTGCTACGAGCAAGGCTCGCTCAAGTATCAAGTCGGAGCCTGGCAGCCGGAAGACAGCCTGCACTACGGCAGTTTCACGCTACCACGTCCGCCTGCACTGATGGAGTATACAAGGAACTTACGGAAATGCGAGTGCGGACGCCTTGGATTCAAGCTCTCAAGGAAAGGAAAGAGGCGGAGAAGAACCCCGAGTTATCACAAGTGCAAAGCGTCAAGCCCGACTTGACTCCCAAGAAGATGTCTGACTCCTACGTTAGCCTTGTTCTGCCGCTCTCTGTCAGTACAATGAATACCTATGCTACTTTTCCACTTGCCAACAATTGATGTGTGCAGAAAGATCCCTGGCTTCTCGACACCTACGCAAACTACACTGGTCAGATTCGTACCGGTACCTTGCTCATGGACTTGGATGCATTGGCTGGCGTAGTCGCGTACAAGCACACGGGTGAAGGGGTGAGCAATGTGACCGCGGCCGTTGACAGAATTACGATCAAAAATCCAATCAGGGAGATTTGCGACCTCGAACTGAGCGGACAAGTGACATTTGCAACCGGGAGGAGCAGCATGGAAGTTACTCTCCAAATCGCCAAAGCTCCAGAACCTGGTCACCAAGTTGCGCCCGAAGACATTTTCATGACTTGTGCTTTCACGATGGTGGCCCTGGATCCGCAAACCAAGAGGCCTGTCAACATTGCTCCGCTCCAAGTCAGCACACCAGCCGAAAAAGCGCTGTATGCCAAGGGTGAGGAGAATTACAGGCATAAAAAGACCATCAAATCTTCAGACATCATGGCTAAACCCCCTGATGCCGAAGAGTCAGCTTTGATCCACAAGATGTGGACGGATTCACTCGCGTACGCGGATTCCAGGAATCCAAAGCAGCAGCCCGCCAACGTCCTGGCTATGTCCAAGACCACCATTCATTCAACACAGATCATGCAACCACAAAATAGAAACCGCCACCATTTTATGATTTTTGGAGGATATCTGCTTAGACAGACCTTCGAGCTGGCGTTCACCTGCGCAGCATCATTCTCGCATACCCGCCCTCGTTTCCTGAACCTCGATCCCAGTACATTCGAGGAAGCGGTGCCTGTCGGTTCTGTACTCTACGTCTCTGCTGGGGTGTCGTATACCGAGCCCGATCCCAATGGTGGTACGCGTATTCAGGTCATGGTACGAACGCATGTGCGCCCCGTCGAACATCAAGACCAAGAGAGAAAGTCAACTGGTACATTCTTCTATACTTTTCTGACACCGGCGACCGTCAATGTCTTGCCACAAAGCTACTCTGAGTTCATGCGCTGGGTGGCTGGCAGGAGACGTGCTGCGAGATTGTCCGCGACGTTGGAGTCCGACCCACACCCCATACTGGCACAACTTCACGCAGAGAACGTAACGGAATGATCGTCGAGTCACGTTCTGACAAGCACATGCGGACAGGGCCACCGTGTCCATCTATAACAGCCTGCCGCTACATCATCGTCCTGCTTGATCGGGCAGAGGTATACTGCGTGCGGTGATTGATTTCCGTGGGCTATCCGAGAACCAAAGATCCGGGCACTTCAGCTTGTTTGGGCCACTAGGGCGAGAGCGCAGTCAGTCAGATTCGGGTACCGCAGCGGGTTGGCCTGTTGATTCTGAATCTGCACATACAGCGGTGGTCTGCGAGCCCTTGGACCTGGATTATTGGTTGTTGTGGTCTTGCATCAATCAGTGACACATCAGGCCATGGGTAGTAAGAGCCGTTCTGAACTACTGGGTGAGACGTGCTGTTGGACGGGATGATAGGGCGATGCGCCTGAACTGTCGCCACTGCTGAAGTCTGCGTTCGCTAAATGCATCTCGGCTGTGTCGTTCGAACAATGACAGCATGGAGGGAGTGGCTCTCTCGCTCCATAGTCCGCCTTGAGTGAACACACGTCGACAGACGAACCCACACTTGCCTATAGCGAGTCGGTCAGGCTGGGCAGCGCACACAACCCAAGGCGACCAAGCCACCGCGCCTTGTATATACTGTAGCCATGAATGGTTCGATAGCCGGCACCACTTCAACCCGGTAGACGCCTTCAGCTCTCTTTGTCTTCGGCGGCTTGGTTTCCCCTTCCTTGCACACTTTCTTCCCCTAGAACCTTGGCGCTGCCCATGAACAGTGCGCCCACGTAGCCTCCCAGAAACCGCATGTCTTGAGCCTGCACGGCTGTCATCCTCAACAGGTTTTCGGTATCCGCAAGGTGCGCGTTCAACTGAGCCAGCTGCGCGTGTAGATGGGCATACTGGCGGTTCTTGTTTGTGGATGCTGCGTTGCTGGAGGCGACAGAGGATGGACGGGGAAGGGATGGCTTCGTAGACGTGGTATTTCGATCCATTGTAGGGAGACGGGAGAGGGGCCAGATAATTGTGTACAATCCTACCTAAGTATGGTTGTCGACTCCAGATTTGACAGCGGTCCCAATTCCCCGCGGCAATGTCAACATTGACGCAAGGCTGAGCCCAATCGAGCTGCTGATTGGCTGGCTGCAAGCTGGTCATCCGTTGCTCAGCCTTGCCACTTCCGCGTCTTTGATGATCACCAATGTCTTGTTCATTCCCTCGTGTCTATTCTGTTTTCCTTCACGTTACCCCATTGCCATCAGCAGCATCCTGAAACCTATTTTTGGTGCTCCAAGGAGCTATCTTGTAGCTAGCGTATGCATGGTCACTTTGCACCCGTCGGCGTGCTTGACTCCAACAGATCTTATTTCCTGGCACCAATACCCTGCGGAATTGCGGCTGGGATTGTCCAGTCTGGCTTGGAGCTTTTCTGCTTTGACGAGGGCAACCTTCGGTCAGCAGGGTTGACCCAGGGCCTTTCATTCGTCCGCAGCGAACGATGCTGCGCCGCTTTCACAAGCCTCCAATGGGGGTATTGGCATCCTTGATGGTCGTGGATTTTCCCCTTTCTGGGCCTTACATGGTCTGCACAACATATACAGGATCACTAATAACGCCGACGCTCGCTTAGGTTACATTCACTGACCTGCTAGAGCGGCGATGCTGCGCTTCAGGCGCTTCGAACTGCTCTGATCGGGGGCACAGCGACTCTTGCCAATACGGCAGTTGACGTGATTACCTGGCAGCTTCGGGTGCGCCTTCACGTCTAAGAGAGCAGGTGTTCAGTGTTTATCTGGGATTCAGACTTGAATTTCCTCAACCTCGCAGGCTTTCGGGATCAGGAACACCAGTCAGCTCCGTCGAGCAGGCGGTCGACATCCGAATACGTTCAGCCCTAACACCACTACCGCACACCTCTTGTCAATCCTTGCTGGCTGTCAACAGCATCGCGGTCGCAGTTCGATGCGAGTCATCTGTGCTTGCATGCCCAATTGAGCTCCCCAGCCGGTGTTGCAGTCTCTTTGTTCTTCACCATCCGCTCAACGTGAGTCCCATTTCTCCAGCAGTCGTCCACGGCGGTATTGTTGATGATTTACTTCTTCGCTGGTTCTGGGCATTGCACTACGAGCAACGGCGGCTGAAGACGCTGGACCGCCATCTTCTGCCCAGGTTTTTGCGCAGCCAGTCTGATGCGCTTTCGATATAGCAACTGAACCTACAGTACCACAGATTCACCTGTCCAACTCTCCTACAGCTCTTTGAGTTGATCGCTGTGCTTCGTCAAAATTCCAGTACCAGCCCCGGTCTTGATCAGCTCCCTGGCACCCTCGCTGGCTCGCCCCTTATGGAACAAGAATAGCCCGCCCACGCACCTTGCCGGCCGACAGATCATCGATCGCCCTCTGGAACTCTTCCAACTTATAGACCGACGTGTGGAGCACGACCTTCCCCTGCGCAGCCAACACCATCAGCTCCGCCAAATCATTGTACGACCCGACCAAGTTTCCGATGAAGTTGATCTCCGTAGAGATGATATCAATCGTCGGCACATTGATATTCTCGCCATACCCAACAACATAATAATTCCCAGCCCTTCGGAGCAACTTGACGCCCCTGGCGGTCGAACCGTCCTCGGCCACGAAATCAATCACCGCCTCTGCCCCCTTGCCTGCCGTCAAGCTCACCACTTCGTCCACAACCACGTCGCCTGACCCACCATCGCCACCTCCATCACGAGCCAACACCACGTGATCGGCACCCAGCTCCCTCGCCAGCCGCAACGCTCCTTCATTCCGATCCACCACAATCACTGTCGCGGCACTGATCGCCTTCATGACCTGCACGCCGATGTGTCCCAGTCCGCCCGCGCCGATCATCACGACGAAATTGCCCGGCCTGAGCGCCCTCGCGGCCTTGGCGCACGCATGGTACGCAGTGAGCCCCGCGTCCGCCAGCGCCGCCACGGCCACGGGCTCGAGCGTCTCGTCCAGCTTGATGACGCTACGGGCTCCAGTCTTCAGATATTCGGCATATCCGCCGTCCGTGTCGATTCCCGGGAAGGAACTCGCCTCGCAGTGCACGTCGTCTCCCGAGCGACAGGCGCGGCACAGTCCGCACGTCACCAGCGGGTGGAGGATGACTTTGTCGCCCACTTTCAGCCCTGTCACGGCGTCGCCTACCGCGTGCACCCAGCCGGCGTTCTCGTGGCCGATCGTGTAGGGCAATTTGACGTTCGATTTGGCCGCCCACTGGCCTTCGAGGACGTGGAGGTCGGTGCGGCAGACGCCGGCGGCGCCGATCTTGACAATCACATCCAGTGGACTGGTGATCTTGGGTTCTGGAGCGTCATGGAGTTCGAGCGGTTGGTGGTAGTTGACTAGGCGGACGGCCTTCATGGTGTGGACGTTCAGAGGGGGTTCTCCAATTATCACCCTGATGATAAGGATGTTGCCGTTGCTATGTTGCTCGCTGGACCAGCAGGTGGAGTAAAGAAAATAGGTATGCTCCTGGGATGCTCCCAATTAGGCCGCTCCTAAAATGTCTGTTCGTATGCCGCCCGCCTTCCGCGTCAGCCCCGCATACCTCGCATATATCCTAGCATCCAAGGACCGTAGGCTTGACCGTGTAGGCCTCCTTGGACACGACGCGATACTAAAGTTAGTCCCAAGAGTACTTTAAGATGGAGAGGCCGTGTGCAGCGAGTTGGTTGGGATACGCCCACAATGTCCGACACGGTTCCACAGAATTTGAGACTCCCGGCGGTCGAAATTGGAAAGGAAGGCGCATTTATAGTTATCCTGTGATACGTTTGTATGGCTTACAAGCTCGCAACCCTATCTACCGCCCCATCTACGCACCGTGCACTCTACGTAGTACGCGTCAAGGGCGGGGATAATAAGCGTTCCCAGAATGGAATCTCGAGTGTTGCACGATATCCGACGACCCAATGGAATGAGCAAAGCCCCCTCCATTGTCTTCCGCGGGGAAATGGACGATGTGCAGAGTCCCATTCCTGGCGTGCCTCCGTGCCCTCCGATTGTTGGACCTCGAAAGGCTCCCAGTTAGACTGCGGGGAACTTCAACGTCGTGCTTGCACACACGGGGATGATCAGCGCAGATGCCGTTGTTGCCGGTCTTTGGTCTGTTTCATACACGATGTAGGCGAGGAGAGGGATAGTTAGGGGGACGTTCGTTGTTGCAAGCATTGTGCGGATTCTGACAAGATGGCCTTCCTTCGACAAGGTTGCAGAGGTTATCTAGAGTAGCCGCCACTGACTACAAGGACACAAGACCAACCTAATTATAGAGGTCTTTTGCGGTGTTGGCTTTGGCACTATTGGGTGTCTTCGGGCGTGTAGCTGCCCAAAGTATTGACACGGAAGTCGTTCGCGCTCGGGCTTGCTGAATGTTGATGGTCTTTGCCGAGTCACAGTACAGAAAGCATGGCACGCCCACATGCATCCAGCTGTCGCCCATCCCCACGGCATCACCAAAGTAAGGGCTAAGCACATGACTTGTCGTCGAACCAAATAGAGCGAGCCGACTGGGAGTGCTGAGGCCAGAAGGGCCCTTTCGAACGCCTGTAGACTGTGTACGGAAGCGTCGACGACGCATGGCCCCTACACCGTTTGACGCTAAACTCCAGGACCCTTTCGCAAAACATTGTTTTGCGAAATAACGGAGCGTTCTAATTAGTGGAGGTTTAGCGCAAGGCTGTGCTCCTTTCCCTTATTGTTTTGTCTTTACTTTCGATAGTTCATACACAGACAGGCAATACACTCTACTCAACTACAGGCATCGTGTCACTCCTTTAAGATGTTGGGTGGTAGAGCGTAAGAAGAGCAGAGCAAGCCGCCGCAGAGAGGCAACCCCCGTTGGTAATAAAGCCTTACTCTAGTTCACTACTAGGTATATTATTTTAACGCTAAATGAATACAAGGTAATGCCTAAAAGAATGTTCTTTACTAATCAAGGCCTGTACGGAGTATATAGAGTAGATATAATCTAGCTAATTTAACTACACCGTTCTAGCTAATTTAACTACACCTGTCAGGAACAGCTACTAGAGCTTACTAAGCCTGCCAAGAGGACGCATACAACTCTCGCGCCTCTCGCATGAGAGTCCCATCCTCCTCTCATGCTTCGAGTCCTGTATGACCTAGAGGTCTAGGGATACCTAATACTATTGAGACCCTTAACTGTTACCCTCTGCCTATCGCCTTAGGCCGTCCCTAACAACACCCTTCTATTAGCCTCGCGGAGCCTTCTATTGTTCCCGAGCCGTGTAGAGGTGCACCCTTCTCTTCTCCTACTGGCCATCAAGCTACTACACTAAGCGGACGGCTAGTATGTTCTCGTATTAATCGTGCTTGCTACAATAATCCGCTACACCGTATTAGGTAAAGTATATACTTTTAGGTATTACCTTGTAACGTTAGGCGTAGTACAGACCTTAGTCAACCCAGCTCATTTCTTTTATATGGATATTTGAACACCCAAAAGTTAACCCAAATACAACAACACCAACTCTACATGGTTTCCATGCGCAATTGGTCTAGTGGTATGATTCTCGCTGTCAGTATCCCCCAGAATCATGTCCTGTAATGAGCACAACTAACCTCCACACAGTAGGGCTTACTCTAAGCATAAATGCGAGAGGCCCCAGGTTCGAACCCTGGATTGCGCCCAATTTTTGATCTTTTTTGCGTATACAGATCTCCCCACATCTAAGCCACTGAAGTCAAATCATACAGGACCAGATCACAAAGTTCAGGTCCAGGCCGGAATCACCAAAATGCAGAGGAGGCTTTCTAGTAGTAGATTTTGTTTACGGGCAGCTCCTTCATGCCTGTCAGGAGATTGGTCTACACTAGAAACGACACAGTGCGTCCATGCTGGAGATGTACGAAGCCCTGCGTCTAACCTCCCCAATTGTGGTGTGGAATAACGATCCTTGTTGACGATGTCGTCGAGAAATTTCAGTCTGTGTTTTTTCCCTCAACAAACCTCTCACGTCTAAGAAGCAACGCGTGGGGAGGTGCTGGTGATGGTGCTGGCAAAGGCTACGAGTTAGAGGCATCGCCAGACAGTACGGGTGCAGATTGCCAATGGGCAGCTGGCCGTTTATGCACAATTACAGGGAGCCACCGCCACAGTCAGACTCCTTCCGGCATCGAAGGATCAGCTGAGATGGATTCATCTGGGGCTCCAAGATAATCGATGTACCCCAGGACATCGGACAGACTCAGCTCTTGAAAGGCGCTACCAGAACGGTCATCCACCCCAGTAGTTTCCCCTTCCTTCAAACCGTGTCCTGCCTCATCAACTGTTTGATTCATAAGTATGAGTTGTCCCAACCTCCTAAAAGACGGTCGAATGAAGGGGATGGAAATGGTAGAAAGCGGAAACCGCGTCACAGAGCCAATGGGTTTTATGTGACCAAGTTGGATCGTCTTGCCGATATCCAGGATAGAGGGTGATTGTGGAAGTGCGAAGGTGGCCTAGTGGTTTTAAAAAGTGGCGCAGCGTGAGTGATTCGGACGTCTCTTGTCTTGTTGCAGTAGATAGACCACACAGAAGTCGTGCGCAGTCGCCATGGTGTTACCACATGAGCACCGACCAGGGTTTACTTCTCCGTTTCTGCCGCCGCCGACCTCAAAACTCACCAAACGCCGAGAGTGCAAACATCAACCCAAAGCTGATCTTAAAAGCCAGATTGTCATTGATGGCACTTCGCAAATTGATGTTCGTGAAATATCTCTGCAGTCGATCCACTGGTATCAAGTTATAACCTCTGCGCGCAGCCAGCTGCCATGCCACGATGCCCAAGCCAATCAACAATGTTAGGCTTGTCGAGAAGGCCGAGACGACCAGTCCCGCACCCAAGCCTAAGATGGAGCCGAGACTGATTTGCTTGACGGCAGCGGGATTGATGGACTTGCCATCTCTTGTGAGGGGTGTCTTAGCGTTGCGTGAGTGTGAGTAGGGCGAGCTGCTGAACTCTGCTGCGGGAGGAGAAGAGGGTGATGAGTCGAGGCGAATGAGGGAGGAAGTTTGGAGGAAAGGGAGGGAAGCTGTCAAGCCGAAAGCCACGAGAACAGGGCGCCTCAGTCCTGTCCGAGATATCGGAGCTGGAATAGATCTGGAAATCGAGGGCAAGGAATAGGAGGAGCGTACGAGAGGTCGAAGAATCATGGTTGCGATGGTGTGGGTGGTCGAGAGGGCTGGACTGACGGAGGTGACCTTCAGGAGGTCAACTGTGTCCGGCTGGTCGAAGGAACTCGAGACAATCGGTGACCAATGCTATCAAGCAACTGACCGTAAGGCGGTTGTCGAAGTCTACCAAAGTACAGCGCCGTGAGCTGGAGCGGAACGGAGCACCATTCAGGTTGGTGTGAGGTACTAGGTAAATGTGAAGCGAGAGTGAGAGTGATGTCATTCGATTCCGGGCGGTGATGGCGGGAAAGCGAGGTTCGCCGGGACCGGAATCTGTTCTTTCCGCCAAATGTCCACCACCAAGCAAGTGGTAATTAACTCGTTCGAGCATCAAGTATCTAAACAGCCACTTGGGATCCAGTCCGCGGAGGTGATTACGAAAGTCTTTGCGAGCACCCTCTGATGCGATCCTCTCAGTAGATTTGCCCCTCGACCCTTTCCCGGCCCGCTGCCGAACGGTCAACCACGACGGCAAACACCTCAAGCATGCATCATCCTGCCTCGCTTAAGTTCCGCAGACACTCAGGAAATGCCCAAGTATCGCCGGAAACCATGGAGTAGTGCAATCATTGGCCGACCATGGCCAGCACAGTCTCCCCACTCCCGCAGCAGGCGATGCTGTGGATCCGGGGAAATGGGGGGTTTTCCCGAGGGTACTTGGTGACCTGATCAGACTGGTATATATCCACAATAAGACGACGGCAAGGTCAGAGTTTTCTTTCTAATTGACATCTTCTATCTACGTCTCATCCTCCGGGCACTTTGAGTCCATATCCCATCACGTTCCACAACATGTCTGGCTCAGTGGTTACCAATGGTGTTCCGGAGATCAATTCGATGATTGTTGAAACGCCATTCCTCATCGTCGGGGCCGGGCCGGCAGGTGGCTCGCTCGCATGCTTTCTATCGCACCCACCCTACTCCATGACAGGCATCATGATCTCTGCAGCACCGACCACGTCCCAAACGCCCAGGGCACATATCACCAACCCGGCCGCCTTTGAATGCCTCAGAGACATCGACCTAGAGCAGACATGTTTGGACCAAGCAGTGGAGGGTGATTGCATGGTCCACACCCGCTGGTGCCACGACATGACCGGCGAGGAGTATGGCCGCATCTATTCTTGGGGCAATGATCCGAAGCGCCACGGAGAGTATGAAGCAGCAACCCCTTGCCATCATGTCGATCTTCCCCAGACCATATTCGAGCCCATCTTGGTCCAACGAGCATCATCCCAAGGGTGGGACGTCAGGTTCCGAACCAGCATCGTCGACTTCAAGAAGGAAGATGATGGCAAGATCCTCAGCCGAGTGCGTGATGAGCTGACTCAGAGCGAGTATTTTATTCGCTCGCAGTATCTGTTCGGATGTGATGGTGCCAGGAGTCAAGTCATCCGCGAATTGAAGATCCCTCTGATCAAGAAACCCGGCCAGGGTCTGGCCATCAACGTCTTGGTCAAGGTGGATCTGAGTGACTACGTCGAAGCCAGAAAAGGAAACTTGCATTGGGTATTCCAACCTGAACGGGAATATCCCGATTTCGCTTGGAGTGGTCTGATCAGGATGGTGAAGCCATGGAATGAGTAAGTTAACAACCGTCGTGTCCGAGAAGAATGTCTCACTAAGCTCCATCCACAGGTGGATGTTTATCCTCTTCCCCAAGCCTGGCACCGAGTGGAAGGAGCCCACTCACGAACAATATGTGCAGAGATGCAAAGAAATCGTCGGCCGAGACGATCTTCCGCTGGAGATCCTCGATATTTCAAAGTGGTACATTAACGAGATTGTCGCCGAATACTACTCTGAAGGCAACATTTTCTGTCTGGGAGACGCCGTACATAGACACCCACCCTTCAACGGTCTTGGATCGAACACCTGTGTGCAGGATGCCTTCAACCTGGCGTGGAAGATTAAGTACGTCCAACAAGGCCTGGCTGCGCCCTCGATCCTCGAGACATTCAGCCATGAACGACAGCCCGTTGGTCTAGGTGTGGTCACCCGTGCGAACCAAGGCATTCGGGACCATGTCCCCGTGTGGAAGGAGATGGGTTTGATGGAAGAAACCGTGGAGAAGAGGATGAAGATCTTCCACAGTTTGAAATTGGCGTCGCCCGAAGCTCGAGAGCGGAGGAAACGGGTCAACGCGGCCATCGAGGGCACAGCTCACGAGTTCCACGGCCTCGGCGTGGAGATGAACCACAGATACGACTCGGCGGCCGTCTACCTGGATGATGAAATCAAGGCTGGCACCCCGAAACCCGAATGGCCGGAGGACCCAATCCTGCACCACAAAGTCAGCACCTACCCGGGTCACCGACTGCCACATGCATGGCTGAACAAGACCATGCCCGTCAAGAACCATACCTCAACGATTGATCTCGCTGGCCACGGGCAGTTTTCGCTGATCACGGGTATCGGTGGTGAAAAGTGGATCGTAGCTGCGCAGAAGCTAAGCAAGGAGCTTGGGATCGATATCAGCACCCATACTATCGGCTGGGGACACCAGTGGATTGATGTCTATCGTGATTGGTAAGGCTCTTTGCCACACTGTGCATCGAAGACCCGTGCTAACACACTCTTACAGGGAACGAAAGCGAGAAATTGACGAGGACGGATGTATCCTCGTCAGACCCGATCGATTCGTCGCGTGGAGGTCGATGGCGCTGCGGGATGACTGTGAGGAGAAGCTAGGAGAGGTCTTGAAGAAGGTTCTTGGGCGATCATAACGAGCGGCAAGCTGTCTTTTCCTTTGTTGAAGACACTTGCAACAGTGGGTGGTTGCTTCCGCCTGGCGTTACGGAGATGTATAGGAAGCTGTGACGCGCGCGATTGTATATACGGAGATGTTCCCGCTTCCCAATAGTGTTCGGCGGGATTATGTAGACAAATCGTCCGAGCAGCAGAACCTGAATGCTTTGTACATTTGGTGGCAAGCACGCACGCACGCACGCACGCACGCACGCATGCAGTCAGGAAATCTGCACTAGAAACAATCCATTAGAGAAACATACGTAGTCCGAAGTACTGTGTCCTCGATAGCAGTAGTGACATCGATTAATGCCTCGTGTGCCCGCAAACCCCCCGCTTAAGCCTTGGCCGTGATCCGAGACGCAGCTAGCCTCCCGTACAGTACTGTAAGGACCACTAAGCTTACGGATAGCCAAAAAAATTTAAATTCGCGGTTATTAATTGCTGTCCGCAGTTTTAGCCTAACAATCAGCACAGAGAATTCCTTCTCGCCTGTGCTCCGGCATCAGTGGTTTAGTGGTAAAATCCATCGTTGCCATCGATGGGCCCCGTGTTCGATTCACGGCTGATGCACAGGGAAGTGTCTTTTTTGTATAGTCCATCTTATTATTTGTTCATGGAGACAGTGGTATGCGGGTGTTTACGGCAGATTTGTCTGTGCGCGGAATTGTTTTTTATTTTCTCGTGAAGAATCGCGATTTGTGCGCACGTGAGGCCGTGATAGTCAACCGCACAGTCTCCACTACGGACTGGCTGGTTTCTCACCGTGACTCGCGCAGGCATACGGAAGAAAGGGAGCGGTCCATGGATCAGCTTTGTAGCACTACTGCGGCTTTCCCTGCAATAATCCTACATCACCACGTACGAGGTACTCGTAGTTTAGGTAGGTCTACCACCGTTCTGACGGTGTTTCGCTGTCAGGGGTACCGTCGACTTGCCGACACCACGTCAATCCGTGAGCTGGAGGCTTGAGCATGATATACAGGCGGGCAAGCGAGCGGTGTATTCCCCCGTATCTACGGCACCGTTGACACCAAAGGGGCCGAACCGCAGTGTCATCCATGAATGTCAATGGACGGGGGCTTTCCGAACACGGCCCCGCGTTTCAGGCATTGACCGGAAGATTGTGCAAAAGGCGAGGTTCAAGTGCAAGACAAGAGACAAGAGGATGATCGAGGAGTGAGCTTTTGTGGTTTCTTTTTCAATACGGCACACATGCTATCACACGCCATTCGCGGTCTCAAACACAGTATCTACGACAACCCCTTCGCATTCGCGTCACGGTGCTGGGAAAACCCGGGGGGGACAAAAACCAGCACCAAGGGGCGTCCGAGAGAGGGAGAGGACTCCATCCCAACCAACAGAAACAGAACGAGGTAGCACTGATCGACCGGCCATGACGGGGCAGCCTACGCGCGCAAATGGATATTCGTCGAGTGCCAACTTTAATAGTCGTCGCCGCGACTGAAGACTTCCTTGTGCGTCTCGCGTAGGAGGAAAGTCTAAGATCATGGTCAGTCAGCCCCGTGCTAAGAGCGCCCTGAAATGTCAGTGAGGGACCTACGTGTTCGAACTGGGCGGAGTATGATCCTTCGACATCCGCCAGCGGCAGATAGGCCTCTACGATTCCGTGGGAGACAAGAGAATTCATCTGCCGTGGTATCAATCAGCATGGGACGACTTCCCTCGATGCTAGCGTCGCTATTGTTGTGGTACTCACGCCAGCGAGATACCTCTCCAGCCCAAGCCTGTCGAGATAGCGACGGCAGAAGACCAGCGTGCTGAAATTCTCTCTGATCGTCTTGTGCAAACGCCTGGCCGAGGCTAACGGTAGAGGTACATTCAACGGGGAATCGTGATTCAGCCCGTAGCCGTAGATGCCCACCTGATGCGCCGTTAGCCAATAATGTAAAGAGCGTCTAACTTGCATCGGGAGGATCAAAGCCCACATCATCGTGCACGTAGCCGCGGCCTGTTGTGCCAAACGTCTCGATGGCAAAGACCTCGCCCTCGTCCATTTTGGTCTGGTCCGAGTTTTTCACGAACGGGATGGACTTTCCGCCGTGGATGCGGTACTGCTTGATGTCGTGGGCAGAGAGATTGCGCACTGGTTTGACGGGGAAGGTCTTTCCGCGGATGTCGACCTCGTAGCTCTCCATCACTTCTTGGATCGCCGCGCTGACGTCGCTTATGCGCACGTCAACCCCAGCGGCCTGGTACGCTCGTTAGCCATGTGTCCCGCCGACAGCGGGTTGGGGATCATGTCGGGGAGTGATGCGTCACCTTGACCCCTGTGTTCGTGGCGTCCTTCACTGCTGCGAGAAGATTGTCGTAGGTGTGGTCGAACGCCATGGTGAAGGCGCTATCGACAATCCAGCCGTTGATGTGGACGCCAAAGTCGACCGTCAGGACGTCCTGGTGCTGCAGCACGACGTCCTTTTGACCCGGATTGGGCGTGTAGTGCGCGACCTGATGGTTGAGGCAGAGACCGGTGGGGAAGCCCATGCCGGCCTTGAGGCTGTCTCCCGTTTCCAGTCCTGTGTGGCCGAGCAAGGCCCTCACGCTATCCTCGATCCCCTCGGCAATGTCCAGGAGTGTCTGCCCGGGCTTGACGCTTTCCTGGACCCATCGTCGAGTTTGGCGATGCACCTCAGCGGCCTTGCGGTAGTTCTGGAGGAAGACATCGTCGACCGAGCTCTGACGTGCGTTGTAGCGTGCTTCAGCAGCTGCTGTCGGGCCCTTGGTGTAATGTTGCAGCTCGCCCTCGGGACACTCGCCGGACGGGAAGAGACTGCTCAGCAAGACTCGCGGTGGCGACGATTGCTCGGTAGGCAGAGGCGTCGGTCCCTTCTTCCTTTTCTTCTTGGGCTTCCTCCGTTTCTTCGGTGCGTCGGCAACTTCAGCTGGTGACGTGGCGGCTAGCGGTCCCAGGTTCGTTTCCTTGCCTTCGCCGTCACCGTCGCCGTCGCTCTCGTCATCGCCTCCCCCGTTTCCGAGACAGCCATCCCCGTCTCGAGACGTATGCGAGCCCCGAGGTTCACCGCCCGTGCAACAGGTTCCATCTGAATTTGGTGGGCCACCTGGGTGGAATCAGTGTACGTCGCACGAACGTTGAACAGAAATCCGATCACTTACCGTTGTCTCTACGACCCTCGTTCTGCGGCGTCTTCGTCCCCATATCGACATTGATGGACTCGGTGATTCGATACGACAAGGAACAGATCCTACACAGGGTCATGGGAGGAATGAGGTGTGTTTGATCAAGCACCACCGCCCCGCTCGCCAGGCGTCCGGTGATGACTAAGCACCTCATTCAGTCGAAGAGCCTACAAAGACGAGATACTCCGTACTGAGACACGCACGACGGCATCATATTGGGTACGTCGGAGTTGACTTTCTACGACGAAAGACGCATGAGAATCCTTCTGCATACAGTCATCACCCCAGCCTCACTTTCCTCCACAGCCGGAGACATTCCAGCATATCCAGCCCAACTCTGCCCCTGCCGGCGCTGCTCGAGTTGAGAGATTCTGCAACGACGGCGACCAGCGAAACAGCCAAGCAGAGCGCCAGCTTGTCCCTGTCATCCTCGAGCATGTGATATTGCTGCTTCTTCATTCCTCCAGCCGTTGCCCAGGACATCCACTCATCCAGAATGCGGACAATCCTCGTGGCATCCCCCAGATCCTCATTGTGGCCCTCATCACCCTGCTTCTGGCCTTGCAGCTCGACGACGATCAGATAGAGGACCGCCTCTGCGACCTGCTCGACAGTCCACTCCTTCCCAACCTGGCCCTTTTCAATGAGCCATACCAAACACGTCTCTGCCACCTTCTTGATGCTCATCCTCGGACTGGCAATCGCGTCATTGATCATCCTCTCTTCTCGTTCACGTCTGGCCGCGTTGCTCGCCACCGTCTCGTTGTGGAATTCTTGCAGGTCTTTCGCCTGCCTATTTGCGCGGTGAATCCTCGCCTGTTCGGGCGGCATGGTGGCCTCCAACCGTTCAGCAGCCATGCGCGCCATGAATTTTTGATGCTGAATCCGTCCTCGTTCGGCCGCCCCATTCGGGTTGTCGCTCTCGCTTGACCACTGGGGGGCATCTTGCTCCGGAAGCAGACCCAGCATGACCATCACACCACAGGGGATGCTGTCTTTGCGCACAAACGCCTTGATGTCAGCGGGGATCTCGAATGCCCAGAGACCGCCTGACTGCTTGTGAGACAAGAGGGCTGAAGCCACGCAAGTGAACCAAAGTCCGGCTGTCGACTGCTCGTAGTAGCGGAAGGGTTCGCACACGAACCCTGTCTCGACGTTGTTGTGTTCCCAAAGGAGTCTCTGGATGCGGTTATCTTCGGTGTGGAAGCGAAAGCTGGTGCTGTCCACGCTGTGTTTATGCGTCGCCTTCAGCTCCTCTATCCGGGCGGGTAGGTCCTTCTCGTTCTCTGCATTCTTGTCGTTAGCCTCCAGGAGTGCCGGCTGCCTAAGCCTCCCCCAGCCCGGCGGCAAGCTCGCTGCTCCACGCATCTCCGCCACCGACGCTGAGGCGGAGGCTGAGCCTGACCCTGTCCCGGCGTGTGCTGATGCTCCATCATCCCTGGGCCAGCGTACAGTAAGGCTCAAAATGCCATCACTCTCATCGGGCATACTGGTCCTCAGCACCCAATCACTTGCCCTCTGCCTCCTCGCCTTCTCTTCGCCCTCGTCACTTTCAGCGGAGTCCATCCTCCTCAACAACACCGTCCCACTCGGCGTCCACAGTCCCCCACTCCTCAACTTCTCCCAGCCCATACTGTCCGGCACGGCGCCCCAGTCCAGCAGGAAGACGACCAGCTCCTCAAACCCGACCTCGGCGGGAGGTTCTCTCAGTTCGTCCTCATACTGGATCCGATACAACTTCCGCCCCACGATCAGTTTCCTCCAGTGGAACGCGCGCCACGACCCGCCTCTCAGGTACCCCCTCACACGGCCCTCTTCGATCATGCTCAGTGTGCTCTCGGCCCGATCGCCCCGGTCGAGCAGGTGGTGGTGGTGGTGGCTGTGTTCCTCGTCGCTGGGCCCCCACGCCTCGTGTGTCCCGACCCAGTATTCCTTCTCGTGCCGGTCCAGCGGCGCAATCGTATACCGCGGCAGCTCCACCTCGACCATGCTCGTCATGGGCGAGCTGCGCAGCGTGAACCCGTCGTGCGGCCGCGACGTCGAGACCGGCCGGTGCCCGTGGTGGACGAGCAGCGAGCGGATGCGACGCTGCGTCAGGATCGAGAGCATGAACGTGTAGAGGATGGGCAGCACGCCCAGCACGGCGAGCGGGACGCCAATGTATGTGATGATGTCGCTTGCGTTGGCCATGTCGGTATCGTTGGTACCGTAGAGTACGCGGGGGAGGGAGTATACGGCGAGTAATGGATTGGCCGATGACCACCAATGCCGTGGCTGGTGTACGTAGGTACGTATGAACGTAAGAATGAAAGAATGACTGTCCTGTATAGATTGTATGCTACGTCTGTTGGGCCCCGCGGCTGAGTGTGATCGTGAGCGTGATCGTGTATGTCAAGGTGCTCTCAAGGCTTTCGTCGTCTCGCGATGCGTGCATATCGTGTACTGTAGCAACGAGCGAGGGGTTCCCCACTGGACACCCGCTGGCAGGAGCGGTGCGTGCGACACTCGTGAAGCGAGGGTCGAGAGTCGGGACTGCATTGTGGACTTTTCGACACGGGATTAATTATGGTGTGCGTGGGTGCGTGGCTAGCTACGCGCGACGGGGCACTTGCTGCTCAGATTACAGTACAGCAAGAGTCAGGGGGTCGACGGTACCTCGTAAGGCGGAGAAAAGGGGCACAGGGCACAGCGAACACAACCGTGAACAGGGGGCTCGGCCATCTTCCTCGGCGAACTCGGCACACGCTGTCGCTTACGTACCTAGGTATGGTACCTCGCAAGGCTCGTAAGCGAACACCTAACTTGGCAGAGGCGAGGCTCAGGCGAGGCTCAGGCGAACCTCTATGCAAGGCTGCACGGTTCCTGTTCCATTGGACCACCTAGCCACTGTGCAGTGGACTCGTGCTGTGTCCATGTCGAACACGGTAAAAGGCTACTCTGACACAGGCAGAAAGTCTTTGTTGTATCAACGAACATGAACCCGATAATTAGGAGCATGTCACGGACAGGACCAACCAGTTACCGCAAGTGCTTTTCGTGCAGAGTCAAAACGGCACATCCCTCGAGTGAGCCACGGTTGTTCTTACCCCGTGTGATATTGTCATGGTATATATTTATCAGAGGCCAGCAATGCCATTCGAGCGCCGTGGTCGTTCTGAAGCTGCTCGAAAGAACCTTCCAATCTTCGGGATGACTCTCTTGTCTGATATTCTTGGGCATTTGCCTCGTCCCACTTTGTATCCTTTGGAGATGAGTATGGACAAGCGGGGTGATACGACACAAAGGTCTCGCTCTTCGCAGCCCGGCCACAAAGACACGATTCATGCCCACCATTGCGGCAAACAAGGGGACCTCATCTTGGGCGCGATTACAGAGTAATTCTGGATAGATCTCCACTTTCTTGCGCACCCTGGCATCGAGACTGGTGAACGCCAGCGGCTGGGGTTCTTCTGCTGGCCATATGTATACGTATATACTTGTGCAGCTTCCTTGCCTGAGCCTTCTTCAACGTGCAAGCAGTGCGGCCTGTGACGACGCCCCTTTTTCTCAGAATGGTTGCCGCAGTGCTTTGAACCACGTTAGACACATCGTTGACGCCTCTTGATCCTCAAGCCGTACTGTCGGCACCTCGTAATGATGCCGCCGAGCTGAGCTTCGTGCGCTCCAGACCCTCCCGTTTCACTGACGATGGCTGTTCCATTGACATACACATCAATCCGGCCCGTTGCCTTCACTCCTGAGCGCCCTCACAGCAACGATACGCGCAAATACGAATCCCAAGACGATTTCTCCGAGCAACTAAGATGACTGCGTGGGCAGTTGCGCGTTTGTCGCTGACCTCTCTCTCCCCCTCGTATCTTCCTACCATTTCTTCCTACCTTTCTATCATCCGAACTCTGACGAAAGATTATTTCGTGGAAAAGGCGCCACTCAAGACCTTCTCTGACCACTGCTATTCCCTTTGCCACCATCTTCTCCGCAAGAGAGGCGCTTGCAAACAAACAGAATCTTTGCAAACTCACCAAACCATATTCCCACTTCAGACCAAGAAGAACATCGCGCGTTGATCAGCCAGGATGCCCTCCCGATCAATCTCGGCCATAGTTGTCGGAGGACTTGCGGTCGGCCTTGGTTGCTCCCTACTTGAGATGGCAAGACAAGTAAGTCATAGTCCAACCCTTACCGTTATCAACACTAACGCTCACATCAGATGAGGGCTCGCAGTGCCAAGCAGCAAGACAAGTATCTTGAAGATGTTCCCGAAAAGCCGTTGCCCCAGGCGCGAGATGCTCCCAGTGTGCAGGACTTGGGCGCACTGGTCCCCAGACCCAGCTTGACAAGAATGGTCTTGTACAGACCCTTCACCTACCTTTTCACAACGACACAGCTTACCACCAGGTCTCAGCTGCTACTGTCAGTATCATCACACTTGTCGACCACAACGGCACTCATCCCGAATAGACTTCCAGCCCACCTTGATGGCGCATTCATCTACCGACAAGTTTGGAATCGTTTACTTGCCATTTCTGCTTCTCGTGCCGAGCAATTCTGGCAAGGTGTCCTGAGAAAGTCTTGCGCTGGGAAGTACCGGAAGACCGCTGCACTTGATAAGTTGGCATCTCTTCATCAAGTTGCTGCTGAAGATATTGAGTTGACTCAAGGATTGGGCGGCGTAGCTGCTGCTCTGCATAGTGCATTTTCGGTTGTTGAAGAAGAGTATGACGTCCAGTCCGGTGACTCCTTATTGCAAAGCAATCCTAACAATACTTCCATCATCCTTCGTGGGTCTTGCCACCTCTCAGAAAATGAAGAGACCTCCGCTTCAGGCGCAGCTGACTCAAATCCTCTCACAAGCCGTGGAGATGCCAGTGACTCGCTGACAGTAAGAGAACATCATGACGACTCTCTGGACATGTCCCGTGCTTCGATTTGCGACATTCCTGGGGCAGCAGGCTTTCAAAATTATGAGCTTGCTGAAAAGGCCCTCGAAAACCGCCACCTTGGAGAAGCATTGCAACATCAACAATCCCTGTGCTCGGGCCTCCGTTCACAGCCGGTCGACTGTGAAGAGAGACTCGACGTCACCGAAGCAAAAGCTGCGGGAGGCTGAACGTCAACGTGGCTTATACGAGGCTGAAGCAGATGAGGCTTCCCAGCGGATACTGAAGTTGCAGCACGAATTGGCTTTCACCAAACGCCAGCTTGCGGAAGAAAAGAAAGCCACTTCTGTTCCACATCAATCCCATCATGTCGCCAATGCTGCTGCTGGTTTCGACCTCCCAGCAATCATGGCTTCATACACTCATGTTTGTGAAGTGGCGAAAATGGCAAAGGCTGACTCTCAATATGTTCGAGGCATGCTGCAGGAGGTCATCAAGGAGCGAGATTCCTTGAACCGTCAACTTCACCAGAACGGCTACCGTTTTGATGAACTCACCCAGCGGCTCCAAGGACAACTTTCACAGGCCCACGACCTGAATGGCCATCTTCGGGACAACATCAGAGGTTTGGAAGGCCAGATCAACCATCTCCTCCAGGCGAAGGAGGCTGCTGGCGAATTGACCTCCGAGTTGGAAGCTCGCCTGGCGGAGGTTGAAGCCAATAACCAGACCCTATTGCATGACTTCACCAACAAGCTGATTGCTGATCCTCAAGACGTCGTCGACCCGATCATGCGCACCTACAACGAATCGAGAGACCTCCGCAACCAAGTCGAGGCGGCGCAGGCCATATCAGCTCGATTCATCGAAGTCAATCAGAATTTGAGTAAGGAGCTCCAAGATGAGAAGGAGAAGGCAAGCTCAATCCAGACTGAGATGGATCTTCTGAACAACAAATGTGCGAGGCTCGCCGCCAACTACGAAGTCTTCGAGAACGAAGTGGAGCATTGGATGGAGAATTTGCCCAAAGTCTTAAGACGTCAGCCTGAAGTGCCCGAAGACGAATATGCCATCTGGAAAGAGGAGTACTTTCGTCAATCCCGAGCGCACGTCGGGAAGACAAAGAGGAAGCTCAAGGCTGCAGCACTCGAGCTGTCCAATCTCGAGTCCACACTGGCCAAAGTGGAGCGGATGCACACAGCGGAAGTGGCTCATCTGCAGCAGACTGTCTCTGAGATGCACAACAAGAATGTGAACTCGAAGCGGAGAATTTCAACATTGACCTGAACCTCCATGACGCCGAGGAACATGTAAAGTTGCTTCAAAGTCAACTCGCACAGTGCAATCGGGCCGGCCAACGGTGGAGAGAACAGTGTGAGAGTCAGGTCTGGGGAGACACAGCTGCGATCATCCAGCGCGCACACCGAGATGAGGTCGAGAAGCTTAAGAATCAGAACTATGCCCTGCAGCATATGAATACCGAGCTGAGACTCGGAAAAGAGGCTGCTGCGCAGGACGTCAGCCTGTTCAAGTGGAACTTCGCAGAGACAATCACCAGAATGCGCGAGTTAGAAGCCGAGTGGGCGTTCGCACGCGCCAAAACCGACGCCTTGGAAGAACGATTCGCTGAGGCCTTGACAAGCAATACCTTGCGCATCCAGAAGCGGGATGCATTTGAAGAGATGAGCCACGAGCAGAAGCAGCAGCTGCTCCGAACGGAGGATGCGTGGATTGTCATTGCCACGGACATCAACCTGGGTCGGGGTTATGATCCTGAGGAAGCCTCACCATCGATGGGTGTGTGGGAGACTTTCATGGCGGAGGTCAAGGCATGGCAGGAGAGGCATGGCAAGGAGGCTTCAGAAGACGCGTGATGGATGCCGCAGCGTGTGAACCTGGTGAAGCGGGATGAGGCGCAAGGCCGGTCTGGGCCAGGATGGCAAACTGAGCCAGAATTGTCAGCGTCGAGTTCTCAAGGGACTCCAACGAGATGGTCTTAATTGTTCAGAGAAGCGTCAACTGTGGCCGGCACGAAGCTCGTGGTGGAAGGCTAGAGGCTGAGATCGACGAAGAATCGGTTTCTCGATTTGACTCTAGCACAAGAGAAAAAGTTATGGCTTTGTGTGCATGCGGCGCGGTTTGATTTTGTAAAGAGTCGATGGAGGTCGCTTGCGAAGTTGACATATACAAAAGACTGTGCGATGCACCGCTCCATGGCTGGAGCTGTATAGTCCAAAGGCGGAGCAACGTGAATAATGGACGATTTGATGAATTCTAGCTCAGCAACAAGTGAGATTGATCTGAGGTCAAGCTGAGGTCGAAGTCCTAAGGTGAAGGCGCTCCGCACGTGACCAGATTACTGGCATCTACCAGAGATAATTGCGTCTCTGCGCCCAATCGGTGTTCTTCGATTGGAGGCTCGAATTGCAGTATGTTCGTCACCCGCAGCAGAATTTTGCATGACAGAGAATTTTTCCCGTGGTTGGCGATTGGCTGAATGCGGCGCCCAAGCTCTTTGTGAGGGGCCCTCCAATCGACAAGCCTCACCAATCTTTTGCTCTCCATCTCCACAGAACTACGTCTTTGCTCCAGAAGAAAAAGAATTTCGTGCAGAGGAACTTTGCACCACCTACCTGCCTTGATAAGGCTTTGAATACTTCTGTTTACCTTGCCTGCAGAGGAGTTGCCATCGCGTTCATGTGCTTCCTCCCAAGCATCTTCACCTCTCAAGTAAGTCGTCCAGGACCCGTCCCACCAACCCACTGATAAGCACCTCATCCTATTGTGTCACCGCAACAATCAACGTCACAGGTACCTTTGCTAACATGCGAGATCCATAGGATTACATTAGTGGTACCTACCGGCCCTTCCTCTCCCAGTTTCGTGATTCTAACCCCCGGAACAGATCATTTGTGGAAAGCCCAAGCCAACTAGCGGTGTGGAGGAACAAGAGCAACAGTCATAATTGTGCAATATGTTTTTCAGGACGTTGAAGCAGAGCAGCTTTGTGCCCAAGGCGGCCAACGCCTTTGGAGGCACCCCCCCTCTACGAGCTCGATCTCTGGCTACGGTGTCGAACAATACTCCTCGACAGCAGGAGCTGCCGTTCCACAAGAAGGTCAAGAACACCCCTGTGACACACGAGCGGGCCACCTTCACCATTCGAAATGGTCCCATCTTCCACGGAACCTCCTTCGGTGCTCGTAGCAACGTCTCAGGGGAGGCTGTTTTCACCACCTCTCTCGTGGGCTACCCTGAGTCCCTCACCGACCCTTCATACCGTGGCCAGATCTTGGTCTTCACCCAGCCTCTTATCGGCAACTACGGTGTCCCCTCTGATGTGCGAGACGAGCATGGCCTGCTGAAATACTTCGAGAGCCCGAACATCCAGGCCGTAGGAGTGGTGGTAGCTGATGTTGCAGAGAAATACTCCCACTGGACTGCCGTGGAGAGCTTGAGCGAGTGGTGTGCAAGAGAAGGGGTCCCAGCCGTCACCGGCGTCGACACCAGGGCCATTGTCACCTACTTACGAGAGCAAGGCTCTAGTCTCGCTAGAATTACTATCGGAGACGAGTACGATCAAGACCAGGATGAGGACTTTATCGATCCTGAGCAGATCAATCTGGTCCGGAAAGTCAGCACAAAGGCACCATTCCATGTTAGCGCTCCTTCACCGACTGCACATGTTGCCGTCATCGACTGCGGCGTCAAGGAGAACATTCTGCGCAGCCTTGTCAGCCGGGGTGCTAGTGCCACCTGCTTCCCATTCGACTACCCCATTCACAAGGTCGCCCACCACTTCGATGGTGTCTTCATTTCCAATGGCCCGGGTGATCCGACCCACTGCCATGATACTGTCTACAACCTTCGAAAGCTGATGGAGACTTCGCAGATTCCCATCTTTGGAATCTGCCTTGGTCATCAACTTGTCGCTCTTGCCGCTGGAGCCAGGACCATCAAGTTGAAGTATGGTAACAGGGCACACAACATTCCGGCTTTGGATCTCACAACCGGAAAATGCCATATCACCAGTCAAAATCACGGGTATGCTGTTGATGCCACGACGCTGCCAAAGGGGTGGAAGCCCTACTTCCTCAACCTGAACGACAACTCCAATGAAGGTCAGTAGTCTCACTAGTCTGCGTTGCCGATGCTGACATTTTTCACAGGACTGATCCATGAATCTCGTCCCATCTTCTCGACACAGTTCCATCCAGAAGCCAAAGGTGGCCCTCTCGACTCGTCTTATCTGTTCGACATGTACCTGGAAAACGTTCAAAAGTACAAGGAAAGTCAGGCGGCAACCCAGCCGTATCGGGACAGCAAGCCAAGCCCGCTCCTGGTGGATCTCTTGTCGAAGGAGAGAGTCGGCGTGGATCTAACTCAGGGTATCCGCAATATGATGGCGTCGACCGCTCAGGAACCCGAGCGGGTGTACGCAGCTGGCGCTGCATGATGGACAACTTGAAGATGACGGAGTGGGCGCAAGATGGTGGGATATGATTTACTTGTTACAGCAAAGCCGACTCGATTTTGGGCTGTCCTTCTTGATTAAGTGTCGAGAAGAATTCATAAATATTGCTTGCGCCAGACGCCTTCGCTACATCAGATCCGTTGATTGTGACTGCGTCATTTGACAGCGTGCAGGTAATTGCCATGCCCGAAACCAGAAACCTTGAGGTAAGGCCGTTCAACGTCTGTCCCATCCTTCTAGCGGCCCTACTGTGGCCTGCCTGTGCGACGAAACCATCCTGTTGCACCTGAAACACATGTTCGACTCCACTCACGCCAACTCTTCAGGCGAAGACAAAGCATCTAAGAGCTGTTTTGTCCGAATGCGAGTTGTATTGAGGTCGTGTCTTCGGACGCTCCGGCGACCTCCTTCTAAATCTGGGCCAATTGTAGAAGCCGAAGCCATAGGTGGGTGCCGCCGCGTTCCATATCCTTGTGTGATCTGAGATGCATCAGGCATACCCTTGATCCAGGCCATGTATTCGAAGTGAGCCTCTGACGGGCTGCCTGCCATTCCCAATGGAAACAGCCAAATCCAATATTAGGCGTTGCGGGCACATCCTAATGGTGGATTGGAAGCGGCAAGACTGAAGGGCAGGGCTGAAAAGACTAGGAGCCTATGATGAAGTAGAATCCGCATCTGGGACCCTGAGAAGCTGATGCTTGTCGTCTCATTTCCCTCAGCCAAGAAAAGCGCGGGTCTCGGCAACTTCGAGGGGTGTGCGACAGTACACCGTGGAGCCGGATTATGCGGACTGGCAGAATGGCATTTCTTCGCACCAATACAGTAGTCACACGGTGCCTGTTGAATAGCGGTGTATTCCGTAATTGCTCTTGCTTTGCCATTCGAAGGAAGCACTCCGGTAAATCAAGCTCCTGACAAATGAGTGCACACTACGGTGAAAACCGCCACGCTTGAACTCACTTTCCAGCGGGCAGGCAGGGCCTCAACTCTCCCTCCTCCAGGGGAATGCGGACTTTACAATGTCTATCGTGTACATGCCGTCATCGAGGAACACATCACAGGCTCGCACTGGGCTCGGAACTGCTCAGTATGGCTAAAACGCAGTATTCGCGGATGCGACGCCACGGCTGAGAAAGCTTACCGTAGTGCATTCATAGCCAGCATGAACCAGGACTATATCTGCATTACTCCGTAGTGCACGTCCTTTTCGAGAGTGTGGTCCGTGACCTGGACTTTGCCGGAGCCGCAGGCGCACGCCGCACCTGCAGAAGTACGGAGTAGGTGCGTACGCACTCCGTACGCCGAAACTTTAGAGTGAGTGCTGTCCAATAACACTCACCTTTGTGTGTGTAGAATTCGCCAGACAAACAGCCTTGCTGAGGTAACAATCTTCGGACTGGACGATGGTAGCGACATCGAGTGAGGGATGAACCTTGGCTGATTCTGAGCCGTCACAGACTCTTTTGCCTTCTGCGGTACATGTGCTTACACAGTAGAGCTCTAACTTGTCGATAGTCGGAACATAGCACCGAGACAAGTTCCGGAGATTGAGCTTCAGGCACGCCGTTGATGTACTCGTCAATTTCCGTCGAGGAATCGGGAGTCTACTGTGTGAGGAAACCCCATTCCGACCCGCTGAGGTGATCTTGAATCCTGGAATGTTTCCCATTGCGGTGTTTAACAACTAGAGGTGTACTCATACTTGGTATCAGCTCGGGGAGGGGGGGGCGGGAATAAGCTCGGGCAGAGCAACAGCTCCGGCACCGCCAACAGTATCAGCACGAGCGGCCGGGTGGCACCCCACTATCAGCGAGGGTCCATTACCGACAAACAGCTAAGTAGGTCAAGGTAGGGCGGAAGGGGAGGGGAGGGGGAGGGGGTAGGCAAGTGAGGCCGCAGAGGACGTGGAGATGAGAGACCCCCTTATGTCCAGGACAGGCTGACTTTTGCCACCACCTGCTGAGTTTGAGACCACACAGTCGACAGGAATACGAGACGCTCGTATATCTACAAGTACTGTGAAGGTACTCCACGGTTGCCGGTTGACAGCGGTTCAGGGATGCAGTCAATTTGACCACTTCGAGTACGTGCATATACTCGCACCACGGACTACAGTTCGAGAGATCAGCGGAACCAGCCAACTCTATCTTCATCACGAGCAGTCCCGGCACGGTCTCGCTTGGGACAGACACCTGCCACGGAGACCCTGAGGCCAAAACTGGGGTACTTGGGACATCCACCAAATTACTATGAGAAACATTTCAGGGTTTGGTCTTTACCCAGGGGTTGAGTGTTGACTCTCACGTCAAACGCGAACGCGATCGGCGACCAGCGATCGGCGTCGTCAACCACGCGACAGCTAGGGTCAGTCCCCGCCGCCACGGTGTCCAGGGACTGATATCAATATGAATGAACAATTGCTCGCGCCATGCCACCGAAAGTCTTTTCAATAAACCAGGCGACCGTGTGCACCAGCACTATGACTTCTCTGTGCCGCCTTATTTCCGACTTCTTAGATAATGACTTGAAAAGGCCTCGACAGGTATTCGAGTATTGAGCTCCACTGTCGACGCGGGGCCTGTGTTTACTGTGTACGACGTTTGACTTTTCGCCCGATCGCGCCATATGCCTCCAGCGTTCCACAACAAGAAATCTAATTACTGACCAATAAGCCAAGGCTCACGGCATTCGGGACCTTGACGGAGAGACAGTCTTGAACCTTGAATCTGACAGAAACCCTGTCTTCTTAGGGTTTCTAATAATGTCTGGTGTCTGGAGACTCTGCTCGACCTGATGCCGATCCGGGATCGGCGCGGCCACTCGGGCGGGTCGGTTCCTCAGAAGCTGTGATCTGCAAAATCACGCAAGACTCCCTCGAGGTTCATGTCCGAGTACTTTTGTGCGCGTGAAGTTTGTGGGGGAGTCCGTCTTGGTCGAATTGTAGGGAAGCTATCTATTGGTCGATTACTTCCCATCTCTACTCACGTACGTCCAAGTGGTCGCTTGACTACGGGCTTGCCAATCGAGGAGCCCGCTGTCCCCGCAAGAATTGGTCGCCGGTTGCATGTCCGAAGCGACCGCGCGTCGAGGTCGCCGAGTCGTGTCGTTCACATCAAAGCTGGGGCAACCACGCTGACGGGGCACTGGGTCGAAAGGACGCCGGTTAGCTTTCCGAGCCGTGCGGCCATTGGCTGAAAGTCCAAGGGGCGCCCATGACGATGATAAGCGATGAGTCCTTGAAACAGGTGTGGTGGCGGACGGTGGCGGGTTGTAGCGAAGCCGCACCCGATGGTCACGAAGCCACCCTCGCTTCAACCCTTTAGGGGGCAACTAGCTCCTGAATTGGGAGCTCGTTCGATCCCTTTAGGCCGCCAAACTCCGCAGATTAGTCGATCTAGGGCGTGCCCACGCTGGATGCCATGTTCAAGGTTTATTAGTGTTTAACTATCGACGCATAACAAGGACATTGCGATCCTCGGTAACCGAATGCACGAGGAGGTGGCATAAAGAGGGCTTTGGTGTATCAATCACCGTTAAGGAGACCGCTCTGGTGCCGTGACTTCAGCGTCTCTGGGGCCGTTTGACGCCTTGCCTGGGGCAGAGCACGTTCACAGCCCTCCCTTCGATCCTCGCAGTGAATGTATGAGAGCACTACGTATTCACATGGTCATTTGCGCAGCCTCCCTACCAATTGACCCCCGTCTATTCGCTTATCTGAGCGGGGCGTCATCGATGCATGCAATCCATCGAAAGAAGGTTTTGTGACAGGTCATACAAACAGGCTGTCAAAGTTCACGCCTAGATGTTAGTCGCCTTCGGAAACACGGAGTAGAGCCGACACCCTTCCTTGGCCCTGCAAGCCATCTTGCGAATTAGTGAGGCACAATCTGAGAAGTTCGGTAGATGGATCCTTGTCCGCCGTCGAGGCCTCCGTGCTGAGCAGGGTGCGATTGACCACTGGATGAGCAGCGTGAGTGAGACGGCTCCATGCTGTCGCTGGGAATATTGCAGCACAGCAGGAACGCAGCTCCGCAGCTGCGGTTCCCAGTCGAAAGTCAAGTCAGACGCAACTTTCATTCATCCCTTGCGTCTGCGCGTCGGTGAGGTCTCCTGCTTTGACTAACAGATTCTGACCAGTTCTACCAGGTCGACGGTCTCTACCAGCTCAACATTCGCGCTCCCAGCTCACCAGCTCCGTATGCACCGGCAACTGGGAAGATTTGCGACAGCTCTTTGCAACCTCCCCTTCCGATCTTTTGCTTACATGTCTTCCGATCTTTTGGCTACATCTCTCTGCAGCTACCGCAAACTCTACTTCTCGATCCCCGCCTCCCACAGCCCACATTGCGGGTATCGTATATCCTCTACTCCGCAATTGGCCGACTCAGACCCAGCTCAGCGCACCACCAACCTGTCAAAACATGCACCATGTCAATTTTCAAGTTCCACCCGATGCAGCGTATGCAGCCCTTGCTAGGCTTCGCCCTTTCGGGTACCCCCCTCTCATGTCGAGGGTATTGTTCGAGCGAGTCGTCCGCCGAAAGGGAAAAGTCCATGGCAGCATCCATGCTTGACAGCGTGCAGACGCGACATCTGAGATGGCATAAGTCAGGAATGTTTCCCTCCGACCCTGGCCAGCGCGCACTGACTCTTCTGCAACTGCGCAGTGATCTTCGATTCAGTTCGTCCGCAGCTGTGCTCCTTCGTTGGCTTTCTGCCGTACCACGTTCCTTGAAGATCAGGGTCTTGCGTGTACCCGCAACAGCTTCATGCTCTCGTCCCATGCTGCGAGGCTGATCAGCTTGCCATATCGCAACCCAATGCGGAACACCAGATTGGGGACCCGATGATGACGCAGAGTTCTAGGACTATGCCTACGTCAATGGGATATCTCGACAAGCACCTTCCAGGATTGCCGGACATCACCTTCGAGATGGAGGAAGAGGGTAGCGGACTCCTGCGAACCGGCGTTGTTTCACAAGGCGACCCTGCAAGCACAGTGTCGACCCCACGATCGCGCATTCCGCAATTTCGCCAGTCAAGAAGGTGGGCAAGAAGGCACGGCTGGGCAGAACCACCGACACCTCCGCCGCATCCCCTTCGTGCCAAAGACTCGTTCTTGGACGACCATCTCACAGCAGATGAGGTTAGAGGCAAGCAGCTCTCCAAGCGCGAGAAGTCCTTTGAGCAGCAACGCGCTCTCCCGAAACAGACTCACCTTCAGCGCCCTAACCCTGTCGAGGAGGCCAAGCGACCGAACAACGACAGAAGCATCACTGAAAGCAGTCTAGACTCTCTGCACAACGGTGCGGTCTGGGCTCGCACTGCTGAGTGTTGGCGCTTCGTGAAACCAACCGTGAGCCGGCTGCCTCGCCCCAGGAGGCAAGTGTGGCCGCGCAAACGCTCCATGAACAAGAAGGCCACATCTACAAAACGGCGGGACGCCGGGCGGGGCTCGGCAGCCATCATTTCATTGCCGGCTGGAATTCGCACGCACATCGCAAACACCGGCCGGCAACGCGACGCCGCTGTCAGCAAGCGAGTCACGTCGAGTCCAGCTCATCGGAGGTCCCTGTCCGTTCTCAAAGGGCGGAGCTACCGCCAGAACGACGGTGCGCGAGGCAATCTTACGATCTCGCTCATCCCTTCGCTTCATGATCCCTTGAAAGACAGATCATTTTCAGATGAATGTAGGGAGATGCTGAGAAGTTTTGGCTCCAACAGCGACTGGTTGCTGGCATCGCGAAGGAGCCTTCTTTGCGAGGGTTGGGACTTGATGACACCTGGAAGGGCAGTGAAGCGCGTCTCATTGCAGTCTCAACATCGCCGTCCACGCTCGCAGCAAGAGACAAAGAACGGCAATGAAAGCGTCATTGCTGGACCGGCCCGTTCCTCCGTCATTTTGCACCACACAGGGCCTATTGCGAAGCCGTCGAGTGCAACTCTCGACGGTTTGACGAGCTTGCAAGGCACAGATCAAACCACGTCAGCCTGGTCAATCTCGCATAGCCCCAGAAGGAATGCCCGTGTAGGGTCGGACGCTCAGAAGCTACAAAATCAGCAGCAGGAAAGCGTTGCGCCTCCTCTACGCTTACGTCCTGCGAGGTCGATAATGAGCATCGACACCCTTGCAGGCATTGAGGCTCAAGTGCACGGTGATTTGCAAGCCAAAATTGACTCGGCTCCACCAAAAACCTCAATGGAAAGCTCTGTCAGCACTACGGTCCACAGATACAGGGGTCCTCCACCCAACATACCCCTACCTGCACTACCACCGGAAGCCCTAGACCAGCAGAGTACCGGGACGAGGAGTTCCGGAGACGAGGCAAGCCTAATGCTTCGCCGTGAGAGCTCTGCAACTTCTGTCGAGTTTACACGTCGCACCCTCAGTGGGCCTCGTGCTGAAAAGGTGCGGGCACGAAGAATGCGTGACCTTGCCGATTCACGCAGTCACTCAGAGAAGTCCAGCATCCACACTGAGCAGGATACTGCCTCAAAGCCAATGCCTGCCAACAACATCTCGGATGAGCTTGATCGATTTCCTGCTGTTCCGGATTCATGCTCCGCCAGCATTGGTAGTATATCTGTGCGGTCGGCTCCTAGTCATCATCAGAGTACACGTAAGAGACCTATCCATCAGGTTCGTCGGATGTCGACATCCAGCTCCGCTGCCCTTCCTTCGAAGCCCCCTTGTCAGATTCTCAGCCAGAGCAACATTTTCGTGGTCGTCGACTCCAATCCAGTCACAGCATCTTTTCGGGCCGGTGCAATGAGTCCCGCTCCAAGCATTGGAGGTCGAGGTCGCAGCCCCGAGCGGAACACGCTCCAATATGTGCAGAAACCCTCCAAGCTGAAGGATCCCCTCGTCCACAAACAGGGCCCGCCGGAAAGCCCAATGGCCGAAACGACTCCACGCGGTTCTCAAGCGCAGCAGTCTCTCACTCCCGGACGGCGGCCAGGATCACGCTCAAGCGGAAACAACAAGCGACCGGCCACAAGCGACAGCAGGCACCAACACAGTTCCAGTGACGAGCATTCCCAGACAAACAAAGACCCGGCCTCGTCGCGCAAAGCACCTAAGAAGTCCACGAAAAGACGGAGATGGAACAGCGACGACATCAACCTGATCATGCTGCTCAACCACGACCTCGAGGCGTTTTATACGAAAATTCGAGACCAAGAAGAGATTGTCCGCAAGCAAGAGGAGAAGATCAAGTGGCAAGCGCACCAGATTCAGATGATGTCTCGAGTGTTTGCGCCAATGGACCGTTCCCGAAGTGAAAGGGCGACCTCGCTCCTTGCAGATTCCCCCAAGCTGCCACCAATGGCAGGGGAGACCCACCATCTCCACGGCGTCGACAGAAACTCCTGGTCTGGATCGAGAGACTGGCAACAGCCGGATATTGTCATTCAATCACCGTTGAGCATCATTGAAGAGCAGTCGCTCAACAGCCGCAGCCAGAGAAAGCCACTGGGACAGGCCGTTCCGAGCAGAATCACGGCATTGCCTGAGTTGAACGATGAGAGTGCCCCAGGTGTTCCAAAAGCCACTGTGATGCATGAATCTCCCGTCAGGAGCCACAACACCACGGCGATACCACGGTATTACAGATCATGAGCTTTGTGCGTCAAATGGTGCGGGACGCAAAGTTGCGGCTGAGGATGATGCCATGAAGCTGAATGTGAACAAGACGGTTTGTCGCTAGTGATGATCATGAACAAGGATACCTAAGCCGATCAGGACAACAGCACAGTGTTCGATAGCTGAGCCATTTAGTACGAGTATATTAATGATAAGTTCAGAGATGATCGTAACGACGAAGGACATGCAACGCAACGTCGCTTAGTTACCCAGATTCCCGAGCCTGATCGCGCGGAGTGGCCTGCAAGTTCCGACCGTGGCGGAGCAGTTGAACGCTCGCATTGATCACGGACTTTTCGAGTCAAAGGCATGTGGCTCGATTCGGGAATGAATTCAGAGACGACTGTGAGGCGTGTGGCTATACCTAGTTATGGAGGGGCCAATTGCGGAGACAACGCTCACGCGTTGCAACGCGTCACACAGGAGGGGCTCAGGGAAACAACTATCAGGGGGCCGTCATACCAGACACTTCGGATGACCTTCCCAGTCGCGGACACCAGAAGCTTCTAGCAAGGCTGCCAATCATGTGACGCCAAGCAGCGCAAGGCTGGGACTCGTGGCGACCATGACTCGCAGTTCATCTGATGTCTCAGACTTAATCAGAGAACCTAGGCAGTAACTTTCCTCTCGCGGTCTATCAGCTCATTCAAACCAATTTCCTAGGACAACCAAATACTCTCGACATGACCAACCTACTAGAGCAAGAGAAGCGGGAACAAACGTCGCCGATCACGACGTTGCCCTTCCCACCAGTAACCCCTCAACATATCCTCAACACGTCCTTCCACTCGTGGTATCCCCGTTTCCGATCCATGACGCCCAAAGCAAGACTGATCCCCCTCTCGCAACCGTTTCTGGACTATCTCCGCGCCGACGGGATCATCCTGCCCCCGGAACACAAGTCCTCGACCAGCGACGCCGAAGACTCAGGCTACGACGACGAGGGTTCCGACGATGCAAGTGCCGACACCGAGCTCGACCCCTCTGAAAGCTGGGCGGACGTGCACGCGGCCATCGCCACCACGATCCGAGACCTAGGCGGCAAGGTGGTCCCCAAGCTGAACTGGTCGGCACCCAAGGACGCCACCTGGATCGCCACCACCAACGACATGGAGTGTCGGACCCCCAACGACGTCTACCTCCTCCTCAAGTCCAGCGACTTCATCACCCACGACCTGGAGCACGCCTTTGACGGGTGTGTCCTGCCCGAGTTGGCGGACGATGCCCTCCCCCACGTGCCCTACCACTTGGTCCTACGGAAGGCGTTCAACCTCAACCCCAGTCTGGAGTTCCGGTGCTTCGTGCGCCAGCGGCGTGTGATTGCCATCTCGCAGCGCGAGATGAACCATTTTGACTTTCTGTTTGATCTGCGCGACCGCTTCGGCAGGCTCATTCGCGACTTTGTCGAGGATAGGCTGGTGGCCGGGTTTCCGGACGAAAACTTCGTGGCAGACGTGTATATCCCGCCGCCGCATGAGAAGGTGTGGTTGATCGATGTGAATCCGTGGGCGCCGAGGACCGATCCGCTCCTGTTTTCGTGGTTGGAACTGTTGACCTTGGAGGTTCCGGCCGTAGAGGAGGGGAAAGAGTCGTCACAGGGGCTCCCACGGACAGAGACGCAGCCGGGAGCAAATGGCGACGATGGTCGCGAAGAATTTGTCAGACTGACGATCCAGTCTCGGGCGACGTGTCCAGCGTTTTCGGAATACAAGCACGAACACGAGCTGGAGCAGGAAGTGCAGGCGCCTTTGGGCACAGAAGGCGACGGAGACGACGAGTCGAGCGCCGGATCCGAAGCAGATGCTGATGTCGATGCTGATGCTGATTCCGAAACAATCTTTGTCCCCGAGTTCCGCCTCGTCAACCGCGACGACCCAGAAGCATACCAGTTCTCGGCGACGAAATACTCGGCACATAAACTGCCCAAGGACGTCGTGGACGCTAGCCTCGCGCCAGGAGGCATGAAGGACATGATGGACGAGTGGAAGAGGGTCATGGAGAGGCAACAGCAGGAGAGTGATACAGATACGGATTCGGATTCTGGCACAAAGTACCGAGCGATGAGCGATGAGCGGTGTTGATCCTCGCTGGGCGGACTTGACCTTCGTGTGCAATGTCCTCGCCATCACTGCTGAGCTATATGTTCGGGGATACCACGGAGGGATATGCTTTGTAAGGCTGCCCGACTGTCCGGGCTTGTCTTCTCGTATATCCATGCATGCATACAGCCACCGAGGCATCCCAATGTTCGCTGCCTGGGCATTCGATCATCTGACCATCGGACTGTCTCACCGTCCACCCGGTAGAGGGGGAACAGCAGAGAGGAGAGGAGAGGAGAACGGTGGAGAAGAAGACAACAGGGTACTGTACCTACTGTACAGTTAACAGCCATGCACTGGTGACACTGTACGTGAGCACGGATCGATCACACGTCTAACCCCGACCGGGCTGGACCGCCCACCCCACGAAATTGAAGCTCGATCACTGATGGGTGCGCCTCATCTCGACAGACACACCTACATCGTCTATTCAGTCAGCTATCTCTACGGCAGGGACAGGCAGTGCCGACTCTACTGACACGGATGTTGACGTTGGTATCGGTATCGACATTGTGTGGGACACACGCGCCGGCAACGTCCTCACGACGGCACAACGTGAGGAGACTGACGTTGCTGCATCGCGCAATCAAGACACGACAGTCTACGAGTACGAATAGGAACAGGAATTGAGAGTTTGGACTTGGGAGAGTTGACAAGGTTGACGAGTTGCGAGGGTCCGGCTCTTGCATTGGCTTGCCAGCCAATCTTGGGACGAGCGCCTAGGCATTTACCTGATCGTGTTTGCCCTTTGGTACGAGTATACGGTTCGTTATGCGGGAAGATAATTAGACCTTGGACGAATCGATTCGATTCGATGCGTGGTGTGGTGTGGTATAGCTGGCGGGCGTCTTGTACACACGCGGCAGACAAGCACCCCTGCACGCCCGCACACGCGCACATACACGCACAATCACAAAGAGACTATCTGTTTGCGGTACGCTTCTTGGGCATGTGTCGATCGAGGCTGGTTGGCATGGCTGGCTGGCTGGCTGGCTGGCTGTTCTGGTTCCTCGCACAGTGGTAAAGAGTGAGTTCGAGCGCGGGCAGTACTGCGAGATGGCAGTCAGTACGAGTAATGTACAGTGTGCACTATGAGGATACCACGTTATGTTTTGACGTGGTGTTGGATTCTAGACGGAGTACGGGGGACAGCTACGGTGATTGAGGGACGAGTTTTCGCTGGATTGAATGGTGATCGAAGTACGGAGTAGACTGCCACGATTGCACACAGGGCATGACATGTTGTATACGGTTCGAGGGCGCCTCGCTTCCACCTTGTCACAGTGCCTCTGCTGGGAACTACTGGGACGAGGTCCTAGTGTTTGTATGTACGGAGTGCAGCTCACTGTCTACCGCGGTGGAGAATATGAGTTTGGAAAAGATCAGATCTCGCAAAATTGGGCTTATCTCTGATATGTCGATCTCCTCGTTCTCACCAATCAGCACATTTGCATTCAGCGACCGGGGCTACCAACCTGACTCCTACGTCAGCTCACATGTCAACACACCCCAGACCACATACCCTAGAGGCGATAACATGCCGCCTGGATGGCATTCTGTCCATAGATATTCGAGGTCTGAGATTCGCGCTCTTATCAAACATGGGATTCTTGAGCGCTTGGCGCGTCCTTATACGTCTCCGGGGACGTCAGCCCAGCCAGAGCCTCACGCCAACACACCGGGCAAAGCTCCAGTCACCCTTTCCGCTGTTGATAAAGGCCAATGAATATGATAGCACGACTGTCTACGGGGTTGTAGCGTGCAGATAGCGAGGTACCAAGCCAAAACACCCTGCAAAGCCGTTGATGTGATCTTCCAAGCCACAGCGTCACTTCATGCAGAGTCGTCCAGAAACCAGCCTTGTGCTTATCTTGATGGAGTCCGACGGCATCGCAAGTCGCGCAGGGCGCAAGGGCTTGTGTTGACTTTGCTCGAAACGGCGCTGATGGTGCACTGCTTGATTGCCTTGTCTGGAATATTGTGACCCGTTCGAGCAGTGATCGCTCGAAGCTTTCAGTCGTGTCGAATGGTTGGCTCCTGGACATGGACCGTTGAGGGTTTTGTCGACGCTGATGCGGAGGAGCTTGCATGTGCCAATCCGCAAAATGTACTCGTACCAGCCGTTCGGGAATCCTGATGGACCTGCGGAGTTGCGTCGACCACGGTTGACACGGTCATGGCTTCAAACCTCATAAGACCTCCAGGCTGTCTTTTTTAGAAAAGACACGCCTCTTGCGCCCTTTTTCATTCACGTGTTTTCGGATACACTCGTCAGACTCGCCAGCCGTCAACATGTACAACTGCTACAGTCCTCAAGAAACGGCCGAGATAGTCTCTCGAGCCGGTGTCGCTAAGGGTAACATGCGGCTGGACAAGGTATTCTTCAGTTCGGTGTCGGCTGGTTGTCTGCTGGCTTTTGCCTGTGCCACTGCCCTGTCCACAAATGCGGCCCCTTGGTACCAGGAGAACGCCCCGGGGTTGATTCGAACATTGTCGGCATTGGTTTTTCCATACGGCCTGTGCTTGATCGTGCTCACTGGTGCTGATTTGTGCACCGGCAGCTTCATGGTATGCTCCAACGTTGGCACAAGAGAAAAGGTCATTCCAGCGCGCTGACCTCACATCCACAGTTCACCGCAATGGCCGTCTTTCAACGTCGACTCAGCCCACTGAAGATGCTGATTCATTGGGTGGTCACATTCTGGGGCAACCTGGCGGGATCCCTGTTCATCGTCGCGCTCATCACTGGCTACGGCGGCATTTTCGACTCTGCTGCGTACAAGACCGAGGTCATCAAGTTCGTGACCACCAAACAGGTCACACCCGACTGGCATCAGGTCTTTCTGAGGGGTATTGGGGCAAACTGGCTGGTTTGTTTGGCCTGCTACCTGGGCATGTCTGGACGAGAATACGTCAGTAAGATTGTTGGTATGACAAACTTGTATGGCCGTTTCCGCGAGCTCTGTTGACGTTTGCTTCAGGTATCTGGTGGCCGACCTTCGCTTTCGTATCTCTCGGATTCGATCACGTCGTTGCGAACATGTTTTTTGTGCCGATGGGCATCTGGCAAAACACTCCAGGGGTGAGCGTTGGCCTTTACATCTGGAAGGGTATCATTCCTGCCCTCCTCGGAAACATCATCGGAGGGGCTTTGTTTGTGGGAGCGTAAGTTGCTGGAAGAAAATATACTGAGCAGCGGCTGACTAGTGTTAGGTACTACTGGTACCAGTATCTGCAAGGGGTTGGTGAGGATGCAATCCTAATCGATGGAGTGCCATACGGAGGTGCTGCTAGCGGGCCTCTAGATCTCGGAAGGAGGAAGACTGGTGACGAAGAAACGTTGCGAGGTGTCAGCCCGGAGAAGGAGACTCGTGGTGATAGAGCCCGAGACTAGGCGGCATCAGCAGAGAATGCCGGATCGAAGAAGAGCAAGCTGGTCTTATGCAAAAAGGCAGAGCATCTGGAATTTGTACTGATATTGCATGACAGTAGCGATGTACCCGTTGGAGATAGCGAATGGAGCGGCTGAAGCTGTAGGTTCTGATCAGCCGCTTCAGCTTCTTGTTGTGCGCTTCGATCTGGTGGCCGAGATGCCATATAGACGAACACGACTGATCCCAAAGAGCTTATGCGTATACCTCCTATGGTGGCCCCAACGCACCATGTCAGCGGCCGAGTTGAAGGTTCGGGAATGGATGTCAACGACACGGGATGCACCAACATCATACCCGCACCTGACGAGTGGTATCCAGCAGCCTCTGATCCCCCAACAGGCGAGACGAGTTGACGCTGGAGGAAGTGAAGGCATACCCTGGCAGAATTGAGACGACGACATTACCTGTGAAGAGGGTCTTGTCCGAAATTGACAATTCATCTCACTCGTTTGGGGTCGAGGACATAAAGGTTCACGCCGTATGCATTCCTGTATAGCGAACAGGGACGGGCAATATTTGGGAGGGAACATGTCATCTGGGAGGAAAAGCCGTCAATGATGGGTTTCTTTAAGGTATGCCACGAGTGTACAGTCACCTGCACAGTTGTGCCTCAAGCCATTACCCACCGAGTGAAGAATCCGAGGTGAGGGGAAAGTGAAGTGAGTTCGAGGAGAGAACGACGACGAGATTCGCCTACCAATGGCTGCCCGCACTAGACCACAAATGGAAAAACACCAACAACGCGACCAAAGTTCGTCATTATTCCTCGCCCTCACCCTCCTACGCTGTGCAATAACACCAAGACAGTACAGTTCTCGACAAGCATCACACTGTGTATGATTTCGCACCCATAGTCAGACCACAATGCCCGGTGACGCTACCATCCTCGAAGGGCCAGTAACCCCAGCCCCCTTGTTTGCCTATCGCGCCCTCCGCAGCATCTTCTTTGCTACGCCCGACTCGTCTCCGGACTATCACAACAAAGAAAATATGGTACCAATATATGCACACTCACCGACAAAGTCCAAAATGATTCTGGCGGATGCTCCTCGAGTCACTCCGCCACAAAAGCGCAAGAGGGACGGCAGCAATGGAGATGCCATTCTCTCTCCCACGAAGGGCATTCTCAGGACGCCGGGCCTCGCGACACCAAGAGCAAAGTACTTGAAGGACATCAACGTCAAGTTCAAAAGTGTCAGCCCGGAGATTCGGCGATCAGAGTCTGTCGTGGGTGCTAACAGCACTTCCAATGCCGGATTCGACGGTACGACACGAGCAGTCCGCCCCTCGAGGTCCGCATGCGTCCCTCCATCGTCCTCCCAACCAGGAACATCCAATGCGGCGCAGGAAGAACCAGTCGAGAATGCGGGGCAACTATCTGCAGGCAAGACGGCAGTGACATGCCCGCCATGCGGGCCCTTCCCCGGCGCTCTCGAATCCTACATGGCCCAAACGGAAAAGGAAATGAAGCGGCTAATCCGCTACGGGAAGAAGATGCGGGAATACGCCCTCAAGAAGGATGCCGAGAACCAAGAGCTGAAGACCATGATCGAGGAACTCAGACAACAAAACGAGCGGCTCAAGAGCGATAAATCCAACCCTTCACATGCTGCGAAAGACCTACGCGTCGAACTTAGCCACGACCAGGAGGGTGAAAATGAGGCAGCGGCGCGGAAACAGGCACAGACGCAGACCAGGACAAGCAAAGCCGAGAATTCGATAACAAGGGAGATATCCCCAGCATTGAGGACCAAAAACCGCGGCCACGTCCGCGAGGAAGTCGATAGAGTCGAGACAACCGTGCGGGTACAGGCCATGAAGAACTCCCCAGCTCGGGGAAGGAGCCCGTCCCTCGCGCTGAAGCCCGTGCCAAGCGCCTCACAAACAACATTGGACGTGCGCCGAAGGTGCTCCTCGCCCGCCCGAATCGTGACCTCTGTCAAGCCATCCGACGGTGCTGCTCCTCAAAAAGCCGGTCCTACGGCATCGTCCGTTCCCGCATACACTACGAGCGCTGGTCCCTCTAATAGCGGAACCTCAAGGCTTGCTCCTGACCGAGCTGCCGCCGCTCGCGAGAGACTTCGAAAACGCGCCGAAGCGAGGAAAGCGAGCGCCGACGCCGATCCTCTTCCGGGTATGGAACACGCGACGGACGCTCGTGCGGCCAAGGATCCCGTACCTCAGCAGAAGCTACCCCTCGGGACCGCGAAAGAGAAAGAGCCAATGGCCGGGACCGACGAACCGAGCTTCGACTGGGCGAACCTTGACGTGTGAAGCTTTTCAGCGTGTTGGGATGGAAAGACCGTACTCCGTACATTTCTGGACTCGCGGTATTAAGCTAGACAGGACAGCCGTCGCTACTCGGTCCTGAGATGTGGGTTGACGCCGCGCCAAGTTTCTTACGTCACATCTCCTTGTGCTGTGATGGTATGGATTCAGTGGTAGATGGTGGAGGAGGAGGATGCAACTCAAAGGCCACCTGAAATTGGATGGATTCATGCCAGATTATTCTTGCTTGGCTCGTGCTGCTGGTTGAATCAGACTGTGATGGCGTTGGCCCTTTGTCAGAGCCACAGACGCCTTCTCCCCAGTCGCTGGCCCGCTCTTACTCTGAGCCACACAAATGATAAGTCTATATGGTATCACATCATGTCATCTACAGCCTCGCGTCTCTTCGCGTTGCAATCAATGCACACAGTATGTTAGGACGGAAACACATCAACCCGAGAACTCGATGGAGGCCCCCACACCCTCAGTCTGCGTGCCCTGCGCCCGACTCGGGGTTGTGTACCTGGCCTGCTCCCTCTCAAGGGCCCGTTCTCGTTCTTCCTGCGCCTTCTCCGTGGCCTTGCGCTTCTTCTCCGCCTCTTCCTTCTCGCGCATCTTGATCGACGAGTAATTTAGAGCCGAGATGATCATGACTACAAGCCGTTAGCATGGGGCGGTCAGCAACAGTCTGGGAGGCAACGTACACGCACAGAAACCTATAGCTAGGGCTGCACGACGGGTCAACACCCAGCGCAGCCCCTCGACCTCACTGCGAGCCTCACTGTTCAGCAGCACCGTGATTTCATAGTTCAGCTCGGATATCTTGCTGTCGATCTTGCGCTTGTCTTCTTGGAGCCCGAGCTTGCGATCATTGAACAGGCCCTTCAGTTCTTCTTTCAGGCTCAGCAGATCTTGAGTGACCTTCTGGTTCAATATGTCGAACTCATGCTGGAGTTGTGCTCGTTGGCTCCGCTGCTTCAGCGTTTCCGAATGCCGCGTCGTCTGCAGCGTGGTCTTCATCTCCGAGCACGCGGCGCGGAATAGGTACGATTCGTTCTCAATGTCCGACTTGGACACGAGGCCCTCCTTGGCGACGTCGAGATTGAGGGCCAGCATCAGTCGGATGGCCTTCATCAACGTCGTGGCTTGTTGGACATTGTACGCGTTGGGCACGGCGAGTTGCTGCACGAGTGAATAGGTGTCGAAGTGGTGTTCGTAGGGCGAGGGTTCGAGATGAGGATGGCGTGGAGTGTCGCCACCTTTGACTTCAGAAGGGGACGGGATCGAGAGGATGAGGTCGAGTTCCTTGTTGTCTAGGGCTTCTTCTTTCTCGATGTTGACCCGGTGGTTCTTCTTCGTCATGGACGCTTCGTCGACGTAGTCGGACGTGGAGTTGGACTCGAGCGGCTCGTCTTGTCCGACTTCTTCGGCCGACGGTCCTTCTCTGGGAGGCGGTGGGGGAGGTCTCTGGGAAGCTTGTTTGGTGCCATCCTTGTCCTTGGTTTGGTCCTTGGGCCCTTCCAGTTGCGGTGCCTGTGCATCACCAGGTTTCGACGGTGGTGGCAGGTTCTGAGTAGCAGCGGCCGGCCCGTATCTCTGAGGAATAACATCTTGTCGTCGCCGGACCGAAGTGTGTATTCTCGCTTTCCTACGGGGTTTGGCCGCTGCTGCGGGAGGTGTGCGTATTGATCGGTAGGTCGTTGGCTCGCAGGCACGTACTGCGCGCAGAAAATTCGGGTACAGGAAGGGTGGCCGAGAGGTCGCCATGTTGAGAAGTCTCGGTAGATGCGCTTCTACTAGGTATATCATCAAGTTATCCCAAGCAGAAACGAGACTCAGATGTGCCACATTGAAAATGCGTTGGCTGTTGTTGGGCGGCGACGTCATCGGATGAAAGTAAAACCGATCCCGACGAATGGATAAGGGGGCACGAATAATTAACAAAAGTATTGCTGGTCTACGAATTCTGTCTATCATTAGCTTGCAGTGACTTCCCTGATCTTGTGTCTGTAATCTGGTCTTCTCCATCTACTGGCACTGCCAACTCGGGGCTGTCTTCCTTGTCTGACTGCTGTTGCCCTTGCCGCTGCGGCGTCTGCGTCTCTTGCACCTTTTCAGCAGCGGTTGACGCTTCCGCAACTCTCGCCTGCTCTCGCTCTTCCGGGCGCTGCAGCCCACGGTCTTTGATCAACAGACAAAGCGCGAGACAGAGGCCAATCATTGGGGCCGAGACGATGAACACCGTTCGGATGGCCGCCATGTACGCCGTTCTCACCAAGTCCTCATCAGCAGCACTCAAGGTTGGGAGAGCGTAGGTGTTGTGCGCAACGCTGGCGAGTTGAGGTGGGAGGTGCTTTCGAAGTGAGCTTTGTAAGACTTGTGCCGAGATAGAGAGCCCGACTGCGCCTCCCGAACTTCGAAGGAAATTTCGGTTGGATACAACAGCCGCTCGTTGGGCTTTTGAACAGTGTGCTTGCAAGGCTATCAGCACAGGTTGAAAGACGCAGCCAGCTCCAATGCCAGATATTGAGAGCATGACAGCAACCGCAGCAGCATGCGTCGTCCGCGTAAAACTGCAAATCAGTGCCGCCCCAACCGTCCAAATGGCAAATCCCGTCCAAATCACAACCCCGTACCTCTTGTACCGTGAGATGAAGATGCCAGAGAGTGTACTGACCATCGATTGTGGGACGTTGATCACAATGAGGAAAGCAGCGGAGATAGTCGCATCCCATCCTCGAACGTTCTGGATATAGAGTGGAATGTAATAAAGATTCGAGTAGTACACCATTCCGAAAAAGAAGTTCTGAGCCAGGATTGCCGCAACAGGTGGATTGGTATACATGCTCAGTGGCATCATCGGCAGGCGTGCAACCTTCCATTCCACGACAAGGAAGGCCAAGAAAGACAGACCCCCAATGGTAAGCATAGAAACGACCAGCGGTGAGGACCATTCGAAGTATGAGCCACCGCCAGAAAGTGGGATGAGAATCAGCACAATAGCAATCGTAGCGGTCGCAATTCCTCCCCAGTCAATCAGCTGGAATTGTTGCCTTGCATTTCCCTTCGGCATTGATGAAGGGAGGTAGAACCATCCAATCACCCCTGCAACGGCACCACAAGGGGCAAGGAACCAGAAGAACGCTCGCCATGTCCGGTGCAGAGCGAATGCAGCAGAGAGAAGTGGACCTACTGCATTGCCACCTCCAATACCGGCGCCCAAGAAACCCTGCCATTTTCCTCGCTCTTCCAGCGTGACGATGTCAGAAATGATCATCATGGTCAAAGAATTGATACCAGCGCCTGCGATGCCACCAAGGGCGCGGAAGAAGAAGAAGCTCGGCGCGTCCGGCGCCACTCCACAGAGAATGTCGGCCAATACTAGCATGCCTACAGAAAACAGGAACACTGGCTTTCGTCCATAGATGTCGGAAATCCTCGCATACATGACTTGCGTGACGGTATTGGAGATGAGAGAGGATGTACCTGCCCATGAGACTGTGTCTGTGGCTTTGAAATCTCGTCCGACTGTCGGAAGAATGGTACCAATGCCATTTTGATCAGCATAGCAGATGAAGAGTGCCGATGCCAGCGAAGAGAACACGATGAAGAGTTGTTTCTTCCCAAGGAGATTTGTTTGGTCATGCAGGCCTAATTCTGCGGCTCTCTGGCGGAGGGCTGCTGTTGACATGTTGGGCCGAATAAGGATGGCAGGAGTGTCTCGCAGCAGTCTGTGACAGTACGGAAGAAGACAAATTTCCAAATCAGCCCATGCTCGACTAGATGCTGTTCATTTCGACAGTACGGCAAGTCGTCGCAAGTGAGCATACAAAAAACATCTCGCGGGCTGGGAGACGATGGGGAAGGTCGGCATTGAATCACCTCGACTACCATTCGCGTGCCGTGTGCCGATTGTGGAGCGGAAACGTATGCATCATGACGGAGTTTCGCCGCTCCAGCCAGCGATATCGGCAGCGGCGGCGACAAGGTCTTGCTGGGAGGCTGTATTCGAGAGGGCGTTGTACCGATATACTGCTGGTATATGAGAGTCTCTTGAACGTACGACTTAAGCTGCGAAAGGAAGTCTGGGCACCAAGTCTGGGCAAGAGTCTGGGCAACAGGAGTCGAAGGCGCCGAAGAGACCTGAAGAGGCAATGTAGAGCGTGCAGCAGGAGAAGTTATGCACGATGACATAAACAGGAGCTCTGTGAGCTGCTATCCTATGGTCAACTTGCGTGGGAGATTGTTGAACAAGAACTAAGGCCATTCGTAAAGAGTGTCGAAAGCTACATGAGCGGCAAGGTGTCAGTTTGAGAGAGTACCGAGGAACAAACTATAATCGAAATACTATGTACACGAGCATGAGGTACAATTTGAACCGAGACGAAGATGAAGTCGTGAAAGAGGCTGAGAGGCTCTTTCCTCTCACGCCTGTGAAGAACCCTCAGGTGGGGAAGCCTGCGCTAAACCTCTTTCGGCTACACAACGCCAGCGCGACGAGTGTCTGGTTGCGCTGCTCGTTACACAGTCAGTATACGGAGTACGTCCACGCTCGACCATTTCATAAGAATTGCGTGTATGAGACCAGACCATGAAGACGCTGCTGGTGCTGTAACATCAACTCTTGGAAAATGAGATGTTCTGTGACCAACCGAACCGAACAAGATGCCACTGCTCGACTTGAGATCATATCAACAGGTGCCATGACTGACTGCTTAAGCTTCATCACATCCACCGACCTGCCACCGTTTTCCCCCAGAAAGAGCGTGAACGATGGGAATCTTCCACGGTCCCACACCCAGCATCATTCGACGCAGCAGATGCGAGGTTCGAGAAGTGCCTAGCTGCACGAGCCAGAGGCGCAGCGTGAGTGGTTTTGCAATTGAGGACTATAAGATGTGTAATCGAAGAGGGACTGGCTGCTCTTGAGGTGCATCTTACCGGACACGTAACGGGGAGACTCTCATGGTAGAGATCTTTTCAGCGAAAGAGACCGATATGTCCGTATATACATTGGCGTATCTGACAAACGGTCGCATGAGGACGACTCGGGAGGCTGAATGTAAGTGCTCTCCTCCACAAGACAACATCCGATCGACGGGCCATGTGGTCTTATACAAATTTTGGAGAGACATTTCACCTTATGCCGGTCCGCTTGCAGCCAGCCGTATAGGCAACTGCGGACCGAACGAATCGACCTCGCAATCAGATCATACTGCCATTAGGCAACGCTATCGGTTCGGGGACACTATTGCCAGCAAAGAAGCAGTTCAAATTGCTGAAGGAGAGGACGTAAGAGCTGCGAAGGTCAAAATAAAGTCCGAACAGTCTATCTGATTGGCTTTGGAAAGAGTTGGAGACGCCAATGACCGGCAGTTCGGACAGCGGCTGTACTGCATGATCGAGGCACTATTTGCGGGAGGACGCTGTGATCGGGGCAGGACATCCGGTCCTCGATCACCAGAGCTCGACCATGCAGGGGTGCATTTCGAGGCTGAATAGCCGTCGACCTTCACACACCACCATGGCGGAGCCTTGCAGCTTCGAGATCATCCTCATGACCTCCGCCCAGCACTGGTTTGGCAACACGACCACGGATGGAAGGCAGGAAGACCTCGCTGAACCTCGTCCGGTGTGCGAGTCCTGTGTTACTGCAGATATCTCATGCAGCCTCTCGGAAAGGTGTCTGAAGAATGGCAATTTGCCAATGAGACATATTGAACTGTCAATGTCAAGGGTGTCGTAGAATTTCAGGAAGGAGTTGGGGGAGGGATAACCGAAGCCATCAAGATGGTGCCCCCGTCGCTTACAGGGCAGCCAGCCTTACGTGGGGATAACTCGGCCATTGTGCGTTATCGATGCTAGAGCGTGCTGCGAGGCTTCTGGCGTTTCGTGCAGCCTACCGCCGGCCACTACACTGCACTGCATTGTACTGCGCTCTCTACCCTGCGCGCCCAGTATGCCTCCAGCTCCATGGCTGATTCGGGACAAAGTGGGCGAGAGCGGGTAGGAAGACTAGGTAAATTGTTTATGCATACCTGATACTGACAGCGAACCCCCCAGCTCCCCACATGTTGCCCTCTCCGCCGAGCTTCCGCCTTTTTCTACCAAAATAGTACATTTGTTTACACTCGTTTGCTACCCGGATCGAGCACCAAACTCGCAGCCTTTCCGTAAAGCGACAGGGAAGGAAGCTATGGACGAAGCTCCGCTCCTGTCTATGCCAGCGGAGAAGACTCATTTTCCGAGCAATGCCCGTAGGATTCCTGCATGGTGCGGCCCAGCCCGCATACATTTTCCAATGCTGGCCAGCACGAGGTCTCGCTTTCAATTGCTCCTATGTCGCGATAGGCTCTCTAGAGCGCATGATCACGACAGATGCGAGAAATCCCGGGATGTTGACATTGAACATGGTTCCGATTCGGAACGGCACCGAGTGAAGTTCATGCACAATCTGCGATGTACAGCCACCACCCACGATCCAAGGATTGGGGTCAACCCGATACCCATACACAAGTGCCGTCAGACGGCAGAAACCCTGTCGGCACTCTTGCATGAGAGCCTTGGATGCTCAGACTCTTGAGCATAGAGCATTGGGTCACCACGGAAGATGAGTGGTGGGGCAGTGAGAGGAGAGCGAAAAGAGTGGCATTTACTGGAACAGCTCCGCAACAGCAGAAAAGAGGGGGAGATGATGTGGAAAGACTTGCTACCCTAACAGCTTGCTTGAACAACAGAAAAATCTTCGTGTGATCATGGGGGAACAAGGTTATAAATGAGGAAGCGTTCGTCCGATGGAATTAGAATTTTGTCTCTTGATATTCTCCATCTTGTAGGATTGTGAGCATTTCTGCATTGCACTGCGATACACCAGTCCTCATTTGTATCAATTGAGGCTTTGAAGGTACGTGCCCCTCCTTCTCTTTGTGTATCACTCTCCCTGCGCGTTCCAGGCGGCGCCTTCCGGGCATGTTTGTCCCCGAGTGCGGCTGCCCTCAATCCAGCCGGTGCGGCGGCAAGCTTCGGCCAAAGTCCTTCCAGACCGCACGCAAATTGCTGTTCGAGGCATCAGTTCCCCCCAAGCTGCAATGCTGACAGCTCACGCGGAGACTGGTGCTCTCGGTGGGTTGCTGCTAAGCATCTGGCCGACGTTTCCCCTCCCTGCCATTTTTGCCGCCCATGCACGAGGGCCCCCTCATCTTCGGGGTGCGAGCCCTGCATTGGTGCGACCTCGACCACTCATGCCCATGCCCATCCCACATCATGATTCCAGGCGCAGTCGAATCCCGTCCTGGCAAACGTCCTGACGCAAGCCCCAGAGCTCATGATACTCACCTTCCCCGCTAGTCCGTCAGGTCCGAGCTAACTCAAACTTGTTGCTTCTAGTGAGAAAGGTACCGTTCCAGGCTGATAGCTCTGCCGGCAGACGCACCCAGCTCACCCTACTCAGATTTTCCTACAAAACCAACTTACCGCCTGTTTATCTCCTGACGACCTGTCTACCTGTTCGACACCTCGACTCTCTACTCAGCTCATATCTTCCTTTTCACAATGGTATTTGCCCGTGTTGCTGCGCGTTCCTTATCGCGCCCTGCGTCATCTCTCGTTTCTTCCCCGCATCTTGCTCGCCGTGCTATTCCCGCATTTCAGACCTCAACCATTGCCAAACGCACACTGACGGCAAGTGCCTCACGTCAGGGCAAAGTCCTCCTCGTCCTCTATGACGTACGTATTCTTCACCCTGCCCTCGCGTGGAAAGACTGACACCGGCCAGGGCCATGAGCATGCCAAACAACAGCCCGCCCTCCTCGGCACGACGGAGAACGAGCTAGGTATCAGGAAGTGGCTTGAGGACCAGGGACACACGCTGGTTACCACCTCAGACAAGGAGGGAGAGAACTCGACCTTCGACAAGGAGCTGGTCGATGCTGAAGTCATCATCACCACGCCGTAAGAGACACTCACCCAGAGGAAACTACCTTGGCCCCATGGACTAACTCATGTGATCCAGTTTCCACCCAGGTTACCTCACCGCCGAACGCCTGGCCAAGGCTAAGAAACTGAAGATTGCCGTCACTGCCGGTATTGGCTCTGACCATGTTGACCTGAACGCTGCCAACAAGACCAATGGCGGCATCACTGTTGCTGAAGTCACTGGCAGCAATGTCGTCTCCGTTGCCGAGCACGTCGTCATGACCATCCTGACTCTTGTCCGCAACTTCGTCCCAGCCCATGAACAGATCGAGTCAGGAGACTGGAACGTTGCGGCCGTGGCCAAGAACGAGTACGATCTCGAGGGCAAGGTCGTCGGTACCGTCGCTGTTGGCCGTATCGGCGAGCGTGTGCTCCGCCGCCTGAAGCCCTTCGACTGCAAGGAACTGTTGTACTTCGACTACCAGCCTCTCAGCCCTGAGAAGGAGAAGGAGATTGGCTGCCGACGCGTCGAAGATCTCGAGGAGATGTTGGCTCAGTGTGACATCGTCACTATCAACTGCCCTCTCCACGAGAAGACTCGAGGCCTGTTCAACAAGGATTTGATCTCCAAGATGAAGAAGGGTAAGCACCAGACTGCTATGTTTACAGCCTAGGGCATACTAACGGAACTTCATAGGTTCATGGCTTGTCAACACCGCCCGCGGTGCCATTGTTGTCAAGGAAGACGTCGCGGAAGCTCTCAAGTCCGGTCACCTCAACGGCTACGGTGGTGATGTCTGGTTCCCTCAACCCGCTCCCAAGGATCATCCTCTCCGATACGCCAAGAACCCATGGGGTGGTGGCAACGCTATGGTTCCTCACATGTCTGGTACCTCGATCGATGCTCAGAAGCGCTACGCAGCTGGTACCAAGGCCATCCTCGAGAGCTACTTCTCCGGTCGCCACGACTACAGACCTGAAGATCTCATTGTCCACAACGGTGACTACGCGACCAAGGCTTACGGCCAGAGGACCAAGGCATAAATGCTTTGATGACCGCAGCGGGCTGCTAGTGGTATGAAGAAGGCAATAGCGACGATAGGACCCGCAGGCTAGGCTGAAATGAACACAGTCTTGGGTCACGACGAAAGGCAAGTCCCTGGAAAGAGACGCCAGAGCACCTGTCGCATCTCTCGGTCAGCATTGTAATATCTATGCTGAGTATGCAAATTCTGATTATACAAAATACCATTTGTGAGAGCCTGGAGTGATGCTGCTCGAATGACACAATGACAGTTGCATGTGAAAATCTGCCACGCGAGTAAAAGTAAAACGCTGGAACAGCCCGCAAACGCGTGAGCGCCTCTCCAACTCTGTGCGGGGAGAGCTTATGTGGCTCCCAGCTCTCGTAGCTACAGCTCCAGCTCCAGCTCCAAGCCCACATCCATAGTTTCCCCATATGGGACAAACTTTGGCTTCGGGGACGATGGAAACACGAGCTGCACGATCCACCTGCAATGCCGGTGATAAATCGGCCGTGCCTGACCTCTAGTGTCCACACGGTGGCTTTGCAAGGGTACCCAGTAGATCAGGCATCTGGTCGCATCCGCAGGGGCAATAAGGGAATCACTCGGGGTTTGAAGCCTGGAAGAACGATTAAGCGAGGCGACCGTCTGGCCGTTGGTACCTATATTGGGCCCGTAAGCCGAAACGGGATTCGGATTGGGAGCAACCGGCGGACGAGGCTACCCTTATTATTATTATACCATATTCTCGGGCCGGGAAAGATGGTGTTGCAGGCAGACGAACAAGTCGAATAATACATTGAAGGATAAGATCAGACGAGGATATACTGTACACTGTACACTGTCCCTTCCCGGGCCTTGCTTAGCTGCGACTTGCGACTCCGGCTCCGTGACTTGCAAGCTGCTTTGCCCACGACACACACAGAGTTACTGTCTACTCAAGATGGGCATGTGGGGCCTGGTTCCCTTTCATCTGTACCAGTAGCTGAGGAAGTAAAGCTCTGCCTGTTTGTCTTCACGTTCGACGGGTCTCGTCTACCAGCACCGCACTCGCAATGGAGAAAGCCAGTCTTTGGCGCAAGCAAGGAGCGTGGACGTACCGCCAGTGGCTGATTGAGCAGCAGAACTGTACCGAGTACGGAGTAATCGTGCAGGTGAAGGACCTCCGGGATGTTCCGCCCTTCGGCACCCCCTCTTTGGCCAGCGTTGCGAATGAAGTCCACACCACATCTGAGTTCTCTTGCTACGGATGGTCAAAAGGGTCTGGTCTGAAGAGGTGTCGATAGCCGATTGATGCGATGGCGCTCCAGCTCTCAGCGGGCCCAATCGTCTTCACGCGAACATTCTTGAGGCTACGTATTTCATGATCAAAGGGAACTTCACGCGCATCCGAGCATGCGGCCGCAGTCGTCACCATTGTGTACTCTACCTACGAGCAGGAGTGCTGATGTTCATCGCGGTGAATCGCTTCTGGAGGAGCTGCGTGTCGCTTTGTGCAGTGGGTTGAGTGTGCTGCTGAAGGGGGGTCTTAAAACTGACGAAGGTTTGTGTGCTTGCGTCTCTTGGGATGATTCTCAACCGGACAGTCTCAACGACAGATTGTACCTGTCACCACTCTGCGGCTTTGCATTCTGCATTGAACTAAATTCGTGCGCCAAAAATTCGAATTGAACATCGCCATGTTCTCTCACAGCGCTTCAGCGTTGTGGTTGTTGTCATGTCTTGACCCGTTCTTTGAAAGCGGAAGGACCTCGGTCTGAGATCCGAAGCTCCGTTCCCTTCGGCGCCGAATCCTCGAAATGTCCTGCTCGATGCCGTCTCCAGCATCACCGTCAACCCACTACATCATGACATTCAGATGCCCCTGTCTTGCACGGCAGGAATCTCATTCAAGTTGGACTGACTGAGAATGTGTCGTGGCGTGCCGCCGTCGATCGCAATGTTGTATAAATGTCGTTGTACCACTCTTCCCAACAATCGTCGCACAATCCAACCGTAAGTTATTGCCTCCCGAAGTCCGCACACAGACACTCCAGGTATTTCTCGCTCAGCCAACACGTATTGAACACTCCTCCTTCAAAGAACCACGCGTATCGTCCATGGCACCTCTCAAGATCCTGATTGTAGGGTGCAGCATTGCTGGGCCCACGCTCGCCATGTTCTTGCTTCTGTCCGACCTACCGCCTTCTGCAAAACCTCACATCACCATCCTCGAGCGAGCATCGTCTATCCGTAAACAAGGCCAGAACGTTGACATTCGTGGCGCCGGTGTAACCATCATCCGCAAGCTTGGCCTCGAGAACGTGATTCGGGCCTCTACGACAGGCGAGATCGGCGTGCAGCTAGTTGATGCCGCCAATCGTGTGTGGTCCTCCAGCACAGCAGATAAGACTGGCCAGGTATCGACACCGACTGCGGACATTGAGATCTTGAGGGGCACATTGGCAGACATCTGCCACAGAAGGAGTCGATCCGTTAGCGAGGAAGTTCAACGCGAGCGGGGTGTCGGAATCGAGTATGTCTTCGGAGACTATCTCGATTCGTTGGAGCAGGAGGGAAGTCAGGTGAACGTGCGCTTTGCGAAGAGTGGGAACAGGCAGACTTTTGACGTGGTTGTCGGCGCAGATGGGCTTCAAAGTGGGACACGCAGTCTTGCTTGGGGTGCCGAGGGGGAAAAGGACAGGATAAGGCGGCTGGGTATGTATGCTGCGTTCTTCAGCATCCCCAAGGGGCCCACCGATAGTGAGTGGCGCCGCTGGTACCACGCACCTGGACGGCGAGGGATTATGGCCAGACCGAGTGATCAGAAAGATAGGACCACTGTCTTCATGTCTGTTATCAACGAAGAAGACGAGAGGCTAGTTCAGGTGGCATCAAAAGGGCGGGAAGACGTGGGCGCTCAGAAGAGGCTGATGGCGGATTATTTCCAGGATGCCGGCTGGGAGAGTCCACGCATCATCGAGGGAATGATGGAGACGACCGACTTCTACTACGACATCGTAGCGCAGGTGAAGATGGACAAGTGGTCCAAAGGTCGGGTCGTCCTGCTTGGCGACGCTGGGTGTGTTCGCTCCTCCACTCGTGGGAGATGTTCCGGCTAACGTGCCAAAAGTTACTGCGCCTCCCCCATCTCTGGCATGGGCACTACACTTGCGCTCACCGGTGCATACACCCTCGCCGGCGCTCTTCTACGCAACCCACAAGACCCTCCCGCTGCTTTCGTCGAGTACGAGGCGAGAATGCGACCCGTCGTTGCTCGTGCTCAGAAATTGTTCCCCGGTGCGCCTCATAGCATGAATCCACAAACAGCATGGGGAATCTGGACTCTGCATGCCATCTTCTATGCTGTTAAGCGATCGGGCCTGGGACATGTGCTGTTCCTCATTGCGTGGATCGTCAACCGGCTGCGTCTGGCAAGGCTGCTCTACCGCATCGGAGGGCCCCCAGCGAATACTGTGCAGGTGGAAGAGTATGGATTTCGTCAGCTGCCGGAGTGGGACGGAGTTGAGAGATGATGATTTTAGAGTGTGGCACAGCATTTAGCACTTCTATCTGTACAACCTTCATCAAAGAATTGCTAACTTGCTCTTATTCCTATGCATGCCGCCAGTGCACACAGCAGTGAAGATGTGTGATGCGCTTGACCTATTTTATTGTATTGTAGCCTTTCCCGGATGTCAGCCGGCACCCGCCCATAGGCTGAAACGGGGATCGTCAAGCTCGGAAGGAGCAACCGAGACCACTCGGATGTACTCATTACTCGCCACACCTTCCTTCAGATATACCCGATAAGCGAGCTCTGAGACGTCAAACGAGCCGATCGTGATGTGCGGGCCATCAGGGGACCAAACTGGCCTATATAAATGGGCTCCTCCCCTGCCTCTGAAGGTGCTTCAACTTCCTCCCTTTCGCGCTCTCCAAATTCCTCATGTCCACCGTCTAGCACGAGCTCTGGGGGCCTGACCCTTCATCCTCAGCCAATCCTCAGCACGCTTTGTCGAACATCTACGTACAATGACGAACTTCGTCGACGACGGACGAAACTACGCTGCCAATCGTGTTTCTTTCAAGCCAACGCGCTGCTCGGTTCCGCTTTGCACGAGTGCCACATGTCCCGACGTACGCCAAGCTACGTCCGGCGGATCACATTTCCGACCACAACCAGGAGTGGGCCGCTCCCTTCAAGCAGCTCACCACCAACATGGGTGTTCATCCTACGCTTCAGATATGGCATCTACGGTGAAAGGGGAGTGCTCTGAGGGAACTCGCCAAGCAGACCTATAGATATTGCGAGAGTGCATCAAGACTGGTGCAAGATGGGTGGGAGTTCAGATGAGCATCGCAGGTAAGTGAGGTGGATCGCAATGATGCGGCACATCGTCAGCGTGCCCCATCGCCAGCGCAGCAGCATTGGTGCGGAACATGAGAAGAGGCTGGGAGTGGAATTCTTCAATTTCAAACCGCGTAAGAAGCGATATTGCCGCCGCACCGGCTCTGTCTTCAACCTGGTTAGCCATTGACATGCAATTCCGTCCCCCCTCCTCAAGATTGTGAAAGGCAACCAGCTTTCGATTGCTTTCGATGATGCAGGAGTGTGCTTCCGGACAGTCTGTGACTCACAGCCAGCAATGACCTCTCCCCTCGACAGATTTTTCGCTCTTTTTCTTCTTCTCTTCTTGCTTTCTCTCTGCCGAAGTAGACATACTGGTAAGCAACGCCATGGTCAACGATCGTCGTGGTTGTTGCTGATTCTGATGACCTCTAGAAGCGAGCGACACCAGCGACAGCAATAGCAACAATTACAGCGATAACCGCAGCAGCAACAACAGCCACAACACTCCGTAAGTCTAGTGCTCCTGTACTCCTGGACCCTGCTACGAGCAATTGCTGATGGCGTCTGCCCACCAGAAACACTCTCCTTCTCTCTTCTCTATTTTCAGGAGTCCCATCAGTCACAATGGGCGTCTGCATCTCCGTCTTCAAGATGGAGGTCTCTTGGAGGTCACGGTGGTTCTTGCTCAAGAACCACCTCAACCAACTCCGCAAGAGGTGGACGTACAACGCGGCGGCGTCAGACTTCTCCTTCTCCCAATGCCCCAGCGAGCTCTGGAGCTATTGGGAGAGGTCCAGTGACGCCCCCGTGTCTGCTGTCCGACCAGACACTCCTCCCCTCTCCTCTCCTCATTCCTCCTTCCGATTCTACTCCTTTCCTCGCCCCCGTCGTCTCTCACAGAGATGGACGGCCGAGTATTAGGACTAGATAGCGGGACCGCGGCCAACTCAGCTCGAGCACGACGCCAATGTCTGATAACAGCGGTTTCCCCCAGACTGTCGCAGACTGGACTGTCAACAAACATCCTGCAATCGCCATGAGTATGCAACATACAACATTGGTGGGGATTGGATTTGTTTGACAACCCTCCTGTAATCGCCATGAGTATTCAACATGCAATACTGGTGGGGAGTGGTACGGCCAGCCAACCATCCTGGAATCGCCATGAGTACGCACGATACTGGTGGGGATTGGTGTGGCAGCCATCCTGGAATCGCCATGAGTGCTTTGTACAACATTGGTGGGGATTGGAACGGCCAGAGTTCAAGACGTCGTGAGCTAAGCAGGGACTCACGTTAACCTCGCATGCGCAAAGCTGCACCCCTTCACTTCGGTGCGGGTTCCCTCAGAACAATCAGGTCTTCTGAACTCGTCCAGTCTGCAGTCTGTCTTTCAAAGCGACAAGAGCATCACACCAGAGCACAAAGCGGCAGCAGTGTCGATCTTCCTGCCAGATACCAAGGCAGTGCGACTCGTCCTGAGCTTGCCAGACTCGATATTCACTTCGTCAAATCGACGACAGAGTCACAAAGCATCACGACACTCGCTACAATTTCAGCCGTTGGTGTATTTTACAGCCAACCGACACTCGCTACACAATTCTTCACAACATCCGCTCGCTTTACAAGCCATGCGCTCTGCAGTCACTATCACAACATTACGCTCCACTGTCGCTCTTTACCTTCCGTCAAAAACCACACTCATTTCGGCGCTGGTGGACGTCGACAATACTGCGGCCACTACAGCCACTTGATGCTTGGGAGGGCATCACCACCATCATACCACCACGGCATTGCTCCTAGGAGCACACAGAGAGAAGCTTGTCGTTGCCAGCCGACGACATGGTGCTCTCCCAAGCACCATCGCCACACCACTAGGTGTGCTGTAGAAGAACACAGGGTGAATCCAGTTGCCATCAAGCGATGATCGATGCTTGGGAGGGCATCATGATCACCATATCGTTGTCACCAAGAATATGTCACTGCAATCTATTGCCATCTACAACAATCGTTGATATCTCAAACATATCACACTACCACCCCGTCGCTCGCTGATGCTTGGGAGGGCTTCTTCACCAGAAAACTGGTACCAGGACTATGCTGCAACGATTATTGACATTCACAACCATCACTATACCCCTCAATCTGTCGAGCTACCATGCTGTCACTCATTGATGCTTGACAGAGCATCGTCGCCATCGCTACGGGCGCAACCCAATGCTTCCAAAGACCTCATGGCAGCCAACGGTCGAAAAACCGCAACTATCATCAGATCCATCAATTTCCTCTTTGCCTCTGAAACAGCTGGCACCATTTCTGTCGCCAACAAGGCTCACAACACTTGAGCTGGCGGTAACGCAAGTATCTCAAAGTCACCGCCGGCACTCTGCATATATCTGCCGGCCAGTTCAATGCTGCAGACTTTGACACAACCAACATTCTTCCTTGGCTGGAAAGCCTTCAAATGATTACTGGCTGCGTTGACGCAATAACCTCCGTGTCACCACCACAACTATTTAACACACCAAAATTCTTCGATGGCTATCAGCAGCCCCCTAACAAGGTCAGCTAGAGGTGAGGCAATCACCTCCGCATCACTGTCGGCCTGCACAATCGCCTACCAGCAAACATTTCACCCTGGCGATTAAGGTCTGCCTGGCATCACGAATTTGCCAACACAATTCCCCCGTCAGCAATCCACTTGACAGCAATGCCTTTGGTGTTCCCAATGATATACCGCAATCTAAATTCATCTACATCGATTTCCTCTTTTATCAGGTATGTTGCTCGCCGCGACCTCTATGGGCTTAAGTGCTAACGTGGCTAGCTATTCACTGTACATCTATTCGAATTCCGTTGTCAGCGTTCAAGCGTTCAAGCACAGGAGTTGGGTTTAACAAGGCAGGGACTACGGGATACTTTGACGCGCAGTGGGCACAGGCACCACAGGCTACCTCGAAATGCCTTGCAGGCATGGCGCATGTTGTTTGGAGTTTTGGGAAGGGCGAATTGTCGCTCCATCGAAAGACGATGAAAGGCGTAGATTTAGGCAGTGCGCAAGGTGCAATGGGCGGGGCTAAGGCCTATGAATCAATGGCTAGCAGTGAATCTGGGGCGCCTGCTCAAATTTCTTAGGGGTGAAGTTGCACCTGCTTCTAGGCTACCAGTTGCAGTTGTACTGTCCAAAATCTCAGACGTCTGGACATGCCTTCCGCAATACCTCCTCGCGAGCGCTGTGTCTTTCAGCTCTTTGCGTAAGCAATGTTCATTTTTCAGATGACTTTCAGACTACAGTCAAACACGGCGCGGTGATTGTCAGATTCTGTCCTACTTACTGCCGTACCCCGACCTCTGCTCGCCTAACCACTGGTAGAGGATGACAAGAGGAAAGAGGAGGCACAAGAGACGGGTCCATGGGTATTATGCCCGGTGGCATGAGTGTCTATAATCAGCAAAGCCCACAAGCTAGTGTAACACTCGTACCAATGCATTCAGAACTTCAGCACCACAATCTCCATACGCTCATTCTGGCCTATAAGCCAGCGTTCGTCGCCGGCAATTCGGCCCATGCTGGACACTTCGGAGGCGACCGCGTCGTCCAGTGCTGCCCATGTGCCTTCTCCGCCGTCTTCAGCCTCCTCGAGTTTCGCTCTGACGACGAGCTTGTTCTCCACACTCTGGCCGGAGAAGCATGTCTCGACCAAGCTCAACCTGACACCGGCCAGCGAATCGACCACGTCCATGACGGGCAGAAACCAACGCTCACTCTCTTCGACGTCTGCGCTCTCCATGCTACAGTGCCCACGATAGGGAGGAAGATTGCCATCCCATTCCCGGTACAGCCTGGGCCCCTCCCCGACAAAAGGAAACGACGTCGTCTTTGCGCACCACAAGCGCTCCGCCGGATCGAAGTAACCTTGGCCTGCGACACCGACATTCTCACGCACGGTTAGTGACAGGGCCTCGGAGTCGAGGTGTAAGGACATCAGCGACACAGTGGAACGTTGACGAATGCCAAAGAAGTCCAGTTGATTGAAAGGGAACCGTGATACAATATAAGGGCCTTCATCGTCGGGTGGACGACGTTTCCCGGCGGGATCCATTGACGGTTGATAGCACGAGTGAGCGGAAATATCCCACACCGAGAGCGATTCGATTGGAAGCTCCTCATCGCCGGTGTACATACTTCGATTGGGCTGCCAGAAATACACGGCATAGTGCGTGGCATTATGCGTGGAGAAGAATCGGTCGTGGTAGTTCGGAGGCAGACCGAGGAAATGCATCTTCCATTCCGAACGCCATGTCACGGCCCAGCCTCTGTGGTCGTCAGCCTGGCGGACATCGAAACAGTTGGCAAAATGTCTGTTGACCTGCTCCAGCGCGTTCAGATTGTGGAAAGGGTCCTTCTCGGCCCACTCCACGATCAAGGTGCGATCTTTTAGCCGGAGGTTGCGGATGATCTTGCCCCGAGCATTGAAAGGAACCGGATATTTCTCGCCAATGGCCACATCCAGCAAAGCCAATACCTGTGGGAAATGTCCATATCCTTCGCATATCGCTGGGGCATAGACCAGGAGACCGTCGTCGTACGACCACAGGGTCGGTCTGAAGAGGTAAGGCTTCACCCCTATTCTCAAATGCATGGCGGCCGTCTCGTAGTACAGACGACCCCCGGGCTGACTCTCGTGGTAGTCCCATTGGCCCACAGCGAAGAAGTCGCCTAATTGTTCAAGCGGTGCCATGGGGTAGCGGTCGATCTTCCTGGCCTTGCCTTGGGCGAGGTTGTGGTAACGTGATGCGACGGACAGCAAGATCTGTTTCCAATTGGCGGACGTGGCCTTGGGCGAAGAATGAAAGTTGAGCATGCCGGGCGACAGGGCTCGGACTTCCCGCGCTCGTCGGTACGATTGCAAGACACAGCGGATATACTCGTCCTTGGAGAAGGCGGTGCGCCACGCGCGGGAAACCCGCTGACAGGAAACGACATCCCATGCAGATATGCTGCGTAATATGAGGAGGAATACGTCTTCAGAGAGGTCTGGAATGGATATGGCATGGCTTGTCTGAGCTATGGCGAGAAGGGCCAGCTGGTCGCTCTTGGTGTCCGCGCACATGGCGAGCTTTTCGAGTATCATGTTTCATGGGCCGTTATGGAATGATTTGTTTCAGGATACAGCAACGGCACAGGACCGCGTTTGAGCAACGCATCGAGAAGCCCAAGCTGCGGGTGTCACGACCGGAAGAAGGGAGATAGAGCAATGGAGAGAGGGAGGAAAGGAACGGAAGAATTAACCCCTGTGGTCGTCCATTATCTCATCGAGCATCTCATCAGGCACGTTCATTCCATCACCCCGGAGTGGAATCCGTGCCCTGTGGCATCTCTCGTTCAAGAGAGGGGTTTCCAAGCTTATTTGAGCGGGCTGGTGGGAAGCACGGAAGAGACGAGCGGCGGGGAGTCGCAGTACGAGTGACAACGGAAAGAGGAGGTGGATGAGTAAGCCGGACACCAGCACCTATCGCCGAGGTTCTGGAGAACGCCTATGAGTACTCCGTATTGTTCGCGGGTACTCCCTACGTCCTCGTACCTTACCTAGGTACCTCTGCCGGGGGCCGTCCAGGCCTGTCTCCAGGCACTTGAGGGGCTTCGGGGGTGTCGCGGGCTCGGCGTCCTCGGGCTTCGGGCGTCTCGGAGCTCCCACGCACCACGCCTGCCTGCCTGGCGAGGCTGGCTTGGCCTGGACTCTTGTCCGACGGCAATCTCATGACATGCCACAGTGGAATCCGGATCGAGTCCCACGGCGCGGGGAACGTCGCGAGAAAATGGCCCAGAATAATTTTTTTCCTTCTCGAAAGTGTCGGCCCTTGTCTTAAGGCGTATCGTCTCCCCTCCTTCTCGCCACTAACCTACACGATATACGCTCGCTCCAGTCACCGTCCGTCCTTATTGGCGGCTCTCCCGTTGATTTCTTGCATACGACTGTAGACTTTTTGAGTTTCTACGTTGTGGGCTGGTCGAGCTGGTGACTCAAAGTCGAGGTCTTTCTTCCCTCGCCGCCAGACTTTTTTCCTTTCCTCCTCCATTGACACCAACGACAGCTTTCTGCTCTCTACAGACGCTTCCACTCGAGTCGTCCTCACCTCCTGCACACTTACACTCGAGTCATTCTCACCTCTCTCCCCCACAGACACTTCCACTCGAGTCGTCCTCACCTCCTCCTCTCTACAGACACTTCCTATCGAGTCGGTCGCCCTCACCTACTGTCCCTCTCTCCAGTGCCCAATCACTTTAATCCCGCTTTGAAAATGGTCATGAACGACAACTCCAACATGTCCAGCACGATCCCCCTGTCCGCGCCTGTCCAATCCTCTAGCCATGGCCAAAACTGCTCATCACAGACCAACGGTGGCGACGACGTGCCCTCGTTCGCCATCAAGGCTGGTCTTGCGCAAATGCTCAAGGGCGGCGTGATCATGGACGTCATCAACGCAGAACAGGCGCGCATCGCCGAAGAGGCCGGCGCCTGCGCCGTCATGGCCCTCGAGCGCGTGCCCGCCGACATCCGCGCACAGGGCGGCGTGGCGAGGATGAGCGACCCGGCGCTCATCAAGGAGATTCAAGCCGCGGTGACCATCCCCGTCATGGCCAAGGCGCGCATCGGACACTTTGTCGAGTGCCAGATCCTCGAGAGCCTGGGCGTCGACTACATCGACGAAAGCGAGGTGCTGACGCCCGCGGACGACACGTTCCACGTGGAAAAATCGCCGTTCCGTGTGCCGTTTGTGTGCGGGTGCCGCAACCTCGGCGAGGCGCTGCGCCGGATCGCCGAGGGCGCCGCAATGATCCGCACAAAGGGCGAGGCCGGCACGGGCGACGTCGTCGAGGCGGTCAAACACATGCGCGCCGTGAAGCGGGACATTGCGCGTGCGCAGGCCGTGCTCGCGGACGGGGGCGAGCTCGGCCTCCGCGCGCTGGCGCGGGAGATGGAAGTCGACGCCGCGCTGCTGAGGCAGACGGCCGAGCTGGGCCGGTTGCCGGTCGTGAACTTTGCGGCCGGCGGCATCGCCACGCCCGCCGACGCGGCGCTGATGATGCAGCTCGGCTGTGATGGCGTCTTTGTCGGGTCGGGCATCTTCAAGTCCGGCAATGCCGCCATGCGGGCCAGGGCCATCGTGCAGGCGACGACGCATTTCCGCGATGCCAAGGTCTTGGCTGAGTGTTCGACCGGGTTGGGCGAGGCCATGGTCGGCATCAGCGTCGGGAGTATGGGTGAGAAGGAGAAGATGGCGGGCCGGGGATGGTAAGGTTGGATGGGTAGCAGCCTGAGTTGACTGGCAAGGCTGGGTGGATGGGTGGTCGTCTCGTCTCGTCTCGTCTCGTCTCGCCATTCGCTGATTGAGTGACTGATCGTATGGACAAACGGAGTAGGAGGTATGGGGAGGGGAAATGACAAGTTGTTCGCTCTGGTCGGTCGTGGAACAGACGGGTTGTCATGGTACACCGCTGGACTGAGAAGGGACTGACTGGTGACTGGTGGGTGGTGCATCTTTGGTCTGCCCTGATCTGGTCACTCCGGTCTGGTAGATTCGCTGGATGATGGACGGACATGCGTGCGTCACTACACCTTTGACGGCGAAGCAGTTTGCCCTACGCCGTTCTCGGTCCATTGCGCCAGATTCTCGTGGTGATGTGCCACGGGCATGATTTGATGATTGATTCAGAAACAGGTATGAGCACGAACACGAACACGAACACGAGGATGCAGACGGAGACGGGAGATTAGGGACGGGCACTTCTCGAAAGACATGATCCAGAAAGCATGTGCTGTGCATGAGCATCGTTATGGCGTTTTCGTTCCGAATCTCGTCTACTGTGAATAGGATATTTTCCACTATGAAGAATCCATTGAATCCAAAGCCCACAATGTTCAATCCATCCAGCATGGACGTACTATTCTTTTCTATCCATCCACCTCTCTCGTTCGTAGGGCTCGACTGACTGACTGACTGACTGACTGACTGATTGGTCTGCGAGTCACTCCACTCAGACAAGCTCCTCAAGCACGCCCAGCATCTCCTCCCTGCCCAGCGGCACACCTAGCATCTCGGCGCCCGACACGCCGTCGCGTCGGCTCGTGATCATCTGATGGTCGAGAAACTCCTTGAGCAGGAACTGGAAGTTCATGGCGCTGCTGCAGATGAACTCCTCGGCCGCCTTGCGGTACAGGGCGCGGTACTCGACGCCGACTTCCTCGGCGGCCGATGGCTCTGGCACTTTGGCTTTGGGTTTTTTCGTCTTTGTCTCTGTATTCGTCTTCCTCTTCGTCTTCTTATTCTTCCTTTTCCGTGTCCGTGGTACGGGGTCTGAGTCGTCCTCGTCGTCCTCGTCGTCGTCGTCGTCGTCGCGGCCCTGATATTCATCTCCATCTTCATCGGCGTCATCGCCGACGGTACCGTCCCAATCATCCAGGCCCTCCTCCATGAGTGTCAAGATCTCCGTCAAGAGTAGGCGGTAGAGATTCCTCGCGTTCTCGGGTAGGGACTTCAGCACGAATCCCACGCCCTCTTTGCCCCCGGCGCGTGATCTCTTCTTGCCGAGTAATTCGTGGACTTGGTCCACGGCACCTGCACCTGCACCTGTCTCCGTCTCGGCCTCGTACGGCGCAAAGGTCGTGCAGTCATGGTAGGCGAAGCGGAAGTGCTCGAGGTGGGTGGAGTTCCACATTGTCGGGAAGAGGGGCGAGTCGGCCGTGCAGACGAAACGCACGGCCGGGTGGGCGGCCAGGCGCGCAAGGAGGGATTGCATCCCAGCGCGGCGGAGGGAGGGGCCGTCGATGGAGTTGACCATCACGTAGAGGGCCCCCTGCGGTGGAGGATTCGAAGTCAAGTGGGCTAGTAGGCCATCGAGCATTTCCTCGGGCTGGCCCGTTAGTTTAGGCCCGTCGAGTTCGTCTTCATGACCGTGCTCAGGGCCCGCCGTCGAGGCAGAGGCGATCGTATTGAGAATATTTCGAATGTTGAGTTTAGGCATGTATCCGTTCAGGATGACTATTTGTGGTGCAGTGCCGGTGGCAGTGGCAGAGGCAGTGGCAGAGGCAGAGGCGGAGGCAGAGGCGGAGGCAGAGGCGGAGTTGGAATCAGAGTTGCATCTCTTGTACACCCACTCCGCGAATCGAGTCACGAGGGACCGTTTACTCCCGTAGCCGTACAGACAGAGGCTGTAGCCTTCGTCGAGTTCGGCCTTCCACTGCGGAAAGGCTCGGGCGTGAAGGTTCGACAAAAAGGCCTTCTCGGGCGCGTGGGGGTCTCTCCACGAGGCGATCTGTTCGAAATATTCCTCCTGGGTCAGAAGTTTGACGCTGTTGAAGCGGTTGTTCGAGACTTGAGGCGCGCCGGGTCGTGTTTGGTAGAAGTATCGTTCTTCGGGCGGGATGTCGCCTTCGGGGGTTGGTGAGCGGACGGGTTTTGTGGACTGGGGTTTGATTGCGGTCCTGGGTCTGCCGCGTTTTCTGGGTGTGGGTGTGGGTGTAGTGGCTGTCGCAGTGTCTTTGGCATCAGAGATATGGCGTTCGACGTTGCGGACCAACTCTGCTTCTTCGATGTCTTCTTCGTCCGTGTGTTCGTCCTCGTCGAGGATCTCTCTTGCTAATCGCCTATCTTGCCCTTGTAGCCCGTCCTCGTCCTCGTCCACATCCTCGTCCACGTGGGTCTGTGCTTCGGCTATAAGTCGGGCGCTCTTCCGTTTCGCTGATCGGTCTGCTTTGGCTTTGACCGATCTCGAGGGCGTCACGGTGGCAATGGTGTCCTTGGTCTTCCTGGGCGTCGCGAAGAGAGTCCGGCCGTTGACTTTGGGAGTAGGGCTTCCTTCGTCGTTCTCTGCTTCGAGCAGTGCCCGTGCCTTTGCCGTGGGTCTCCTTATCCTTCGCGAGGGAGTCTCCTGCTTCTCGGGTGACCCATTTGTCCCTGGAGCCTCGTTCTCATCGTGGTGATGTCCATTGGTGAGCGCTTCCGCTGCTTCTGCTGTTCGTCTTCGGCGCTTCGAAGGGGGGGTGTCTGCGGCCGAGTGTTCCGGGTCGGACTCGATGTCAGTCTCAGGCTGCTTCCTCTTCGCCATCTCTGTTACAAGACGGACGTCCAACAGTGAGATGAGCCAGACACTGAGGACATTCAGGTCAATGAGGCATCGTCCGTCCATCGCGCGACGCGGTTCTTCGTCTCCGCAAACCGGCGGCGCTGATTGGTCGATTCGTCTCGCATACATTTTTGACTCACGCTTCTTTCTTTTCCTGCAATTTTTCCACGACTGCATTCTTTATGTGCTCAACATATTGCAGCGACATTGAAGTATCCAGACCGGGTCGTCCTCGCTGAGTGATCCTGGACGGCGACGTGGTGCCTGCTACCTGAGCAATTGGCACCCTGCTCACCCACTTTATGCTGTCTGTCCACACTGAGCACTTCATATCTCGCTCGACATTGATAACGACATTGAAGAAATACTAGGCCGGAGATCCGATTGCTAGCCTGAGCACGGTAAAATCAGAGCCGCCGCTGAGCATGTGAGCTGCGAAAAGCTCCCTCTGGACGAGTGTCAGACGTCAAGGGCCCTCCATCTGTGAGCGATCTGATATCCATCTCAACTAAACCTCGATCATGGCGACCTCGATACGCATGACAGGCCGACCCGCCCTCCGCCAGTTCGTCCGCCACTATTCCGCGCCTCTGGACAGCTCCATTCCCGCCTCGAAGCTGAAATATGTCCCCACGAGTGGCACCTATCCCAAGGGCTTCCTCGTCTCCGGCACGCACGTCGGAGTGAAGCCAGCAAACAAATCACACCCGGATCTCGCCCTCATCGCGAGCGAGCGACCCGCTTTTGGAGCCGCCGTCTTCACGACGAATAAGTTCCAAGCCGCCCCCGTCCAAGTGAGTCGGTCTGTGCTCGAGAAACGCGGCGGGGCTGGCCTCAGGAGCATTATCGTCAACTCTGGGTGCGCAAACGCCGTGACAGGCCAAGGCGGCGTGGATGACGCGTGGGCGATGTCCTCCACGGCATCGGCTCAATTCCAGCAGTCCTCGCAACCAGACGACCACCTGGGACCGAACAGTCTGGTCATGTCGACCGGCGTGATCGGCCAACGTCTCCCGATCGCCAAAATCCTCAACAAGATACCCGTCGCGTATTCGAACCTCGCAGCCGACCATGCCGCATGGCTCACGACGGCCAGAGCAATCTGCACGACAGACACATTCCCGAAGCTCCTCTCCACGACTTTCACCCTCCCGGGCGCACAGCACGCCGGCATCGAGTACCGCCTCGCAGGCATGACCAAAGGCGCGGGCATGATCCACCCCAACATGGCGACGCTGCTCGGGATCCTCTGCACCGACGCGCCCATCTCGGCCGACGCGGTGTCCACGCTCCTCACCACGGCGGTGAACAAGTCCTTCAACTGCATCTCCATCGACGGCGACACGTCGACCAACGACACCGTCGCGCTGCTGGCCAACGGCGCGGCATCCCCCTCGGCGTCCACGGCACCCATATCCTCGTCCACCACGCCCGAAGACTACGCGGCCATGGCGAACATCCTGACGTCGTTCGCCCAGCAACTCTCCCAGCTCGTCGTGCGCGACGGTGAAGGCGCCACCAAATTCGTGACCATCCGCGTGCGCAACGCCCTGACCGAGACGGACGCGCGGGCCATTGCCAGCACCATCGCGCGCTCCCCGCTCGTCAAAACGGCCCTCTACGGCAAGGACGCGAACTGGGGCCGCATCCTCTGCGCGATCGGGTACACCTCGCCGGCGCTGCTCGCCTCGGGCGCCGAGTCCGTCATACCCGCCAGGACGAACGTCAGTTTCGTCCCGGCGGAGAACTCGGCGTCCCGTGCCGAGGGCGTGCTCAAGCTGTTGATCGACGGCGAACCGCAGGCCGTCGACGAGGAGCGGGCCAGCAGATTACTCGAGGATGAGGACTTGATCGTCGACGTGGATCTCCGGGTCGGCCAGGCCGAGGGCACGTACTGGACGTGTGATTTCAGCCACGAGTACGTCACGATCAATGGGGATTATCGGACGTAATGCTCGTGGTTTCGTGGTTCGAGGCAAGTCGGCTCGTTTACGACGGTAGAATGATAGTATCGAAGTAGGCAGGAGGAGGAGGAGGAGGAGGAGGAGG